AAGAGTGAGCGAAAAGTGAACGGACAAGTGGCTAGTAGCGACGATAGAGTAAAAAAAAAAGGAGAAAGCTTGCGAGGGCGTTAGAAAGAAGTGGAAAAATTAAATAATTCATTCGTAACAGGACATTCTCGTGTCTTTCGATCTAATACATTTGAATTGATTATTTGATCGGTGACTTCCGAGAAAACTTGAACAACTTGGTCATCGGAAACCGAGTAACTTGTGAACGGCGGGGGAGGGGAAAAATGTAGCACACCGTTGTTTTCATGAGCAATTGCAATTGCTGTCAAGAATAATTGACGATTACTTAATGTAAACAGCCATCGAAAATCCTGGTGAGCTGAATCTCGTTATGAATAACTTTAAACTAATAAATCGCTTGGATTTATTATCACCGTCATTGTTACATATTCAAATATTTATTGATTTTATCATGTGGCGAATGTTATTCTATTGAATTTGTTGAAATAATGAGAAAATCAATGTTTACTATCCCGATATCTTTATTTGCTGATTATAGTGTTACAAAAGTTTAGATTGAATCATGCAATTCGCATTACATTTCTGCGTCTATACGATCCATTGGACTGTGCGTTTACTTTTCGCTATGTCTTTCTTAATTGTTTGTCGTTTTGCTGCTCTTGGTTTTGTCGATCTTGTAGGTGACCGTGTCTTTTTTGAATATCGTTCAACTATAAGGAAAATTAATAGACGATACGTGAATTATAAACAATAAAAATGCAAAATGCAATTCATGAATTATAATTGTTCGTTTAATTACAGGCTTTTGTAGGGAATAAAAATAAACATCCTTGCATGCAGTCTTCATATAGTTCTGGATCTAAAGCTTTATCAATATAAATAATACAAGAATTTAGTAGTTTGATCAATGGTATACTATTAATCTATATTTTGTTATTTATATATCTTTTTATTTGAATGATATACCGGATATTTAATACATTCATTATTATTTTTAATATTATCAATTATCATATCTTTCTAAACTGTTTTTAAAAATAACATTATAGAACTATTCTTAAATCAATTAGTGCATAGTAATTTAATAATATACAAATATTTTTAACTCATCGTATATAACTAAGCATAAATTATATATAAATGTAAAGTAAATTTAATATCAATCAATACTTTTAAATATTTTTTAATATTTAAAATATAATTTTTATTATCGTGAAATACGGTTATTAAATATAGTTTTTACTTTGACAGTACTGTAGACATTTTTGTAGGTTGGTATTTTTATATCCACCTATGAACATTTAAACACTCAATAAGAGTGAAATTATATTTTATTACTTATTACTATAAGAATACTTACCAAATGTAGCATCTCGATAGCAGTTTTGTTTGCATATTAATGTTTGCATCGCACTAAGTACTTGAGCTTTAATATCATTTAAAAGTAAAATTATTAAAGAAGTTAATAATAATTTTTTTTTCTTTTCCATTCATTTATCTATATTTTAATATAAATAAGGATATATAGGAATTTATACTTTGGGGTTCTCTTGTATATATATATATATATATATTAAAGCAAAGTTTTTCAATTTATAATTAATTAAATTATATAAAATAATTGAAAATAATAGAAAACTCAATTTTTTACCGAACTGATTGTAATTTTTCTACAAGTGGCAATTAACATGGAATTAGAATAATCAAACATTCTTTCTTGTAACTAATTTTTCTGTATCGACGTAAATTTATAATTTAACAAATATACATATTATTTCGTAAATACTTCTAATTATAAAAATTCTCAAATAAATATTTCTTACTTTCACATCCACGAAGACAGTCTAATAATGCACTGTTAGCGTATGTATAATAGTTTATAAATAATATTACAATTAACGAATGTTTCATTTTCCTAACTATAAGTTAGATGTAAATAAATTTAATCGTAGGAATTAAATGCAACTACTTTGAGAAAGGCTTTTTTAGTAATTAAACTTACTATGTAAAAATGTAACTTTTGATGTTTATAATTTTACTATAAAATTTTAATAATTAATATTTTAATGGGTTTGTTTTTCAAATATAATTATGTAATTATTGTAGATAATAAATGTAATGCAAAGTCTGAATTTTTAGCATATTCTGTAAGTATATTATCAATTAGCTTTTCAAAAATTTTCATAGCCATTTCTTTTTTTTAATAATAATAGAATTCTTTTTATTATTTAAAAAATCTATTCAAAAATACTTATAATATTGATGCGAATATTTTATCATACATCGCATAATATATCGTAATAATATTATAATAAATATTGAATAATTTAATATATTGTTTTCAATGCTTTACCGGTATCAAGTTTAAATATTAATGATCATCTAATCAGCTACAGAAATGAGATGAAAATTTTCACTCAATTTTCATTTCCAATCAAAACTTATATAAAGCGTATAAAAATTATATTTGGAATTACGATATAATTTTAATCCATTTTATTTTATATGTTGACTATTATATTTTCATAAAAATCCTATTAATATATATTTTTTTAATTTCTTAATAATGGATCAGTTACTTTGCTGTTCATAATACTTTGATTGACCTCTATAATATTAGTCTATATATATTTATAAATTAAGATAAAACAATTTTCGTTTCTCCATTTTTATAAGCATGCTTATGTTTTTTTTTGTTATAAGCATTTATTACTTATTTTCAATTTAACAGATCTTCGAATAATGGTAACTTTATTTATATCTTCATTACAGACTCAGGAAAAATATTATAAACATTATGGGAATTGGATTTTTTGTATAACTTATAATCCGATGCTTCCGTCACAAGTTAGTCTCGGACAATATAGAAAAATTAAATTTTATAAAATAAACTTCTGACTTGTACCATAACAATATGGAGCTTATTATTTATTAAAATGTTATATATATATTTATTTATGTATAATATCTAAATTCTTTATAAAATCTAAAATCCTTTACGGATTGTAGTTTTCAAATACTTTGAATCTATAAATTTAATCAATTATAAATATTTATCCAAATAAGTCAAAGATAGATTTAATAAACTCAGTCTTTAATTAACTAAATAATAATAAATTTAAGTATGATATAATGACGATATTGACGAATACAATTTACAATTAAACTTACCTCTTTATTTGTTCAAATGAATTCTCTTTACATTTATTTTTATATAAAAAAAAAAAAAAAAAAAAAAAAATCAATGTATATGATATAGCATATATATTATTATATATAATATTATATATATATATATATATATATATATATATATATATATATATATATATTTAATCGATATAATAAAAATATTAAAAATATTCTGTATTGTAATAAAAAGAATGAACTAAATAATTCGTGAGATAAATAAAATTTATAAATTAATTATGGTGGACAAAATATAGTATTTTTTCATTGTCTTGTATCGATATATTACATTTCCTTTATAATATTAATTAGAAGTAAATTTATATTCAATCCAACTCAACAGGTTCAATTTTTACTTTCTTTAATTCTGGTTGTTTCGTGCAATCCGATTCATTTTTTTGTCTGTTATAACCTACAAATTTTTATTTACAAAGTAATATCTATAAATGTATTAATGATATTGAAGTATTAAATAAAATGCCAGTCAATATTACGTATAGTAATTGCAAATGTAAACAAACATCCTTTTTCACAATCTTTTACATACTGCTCCTTAATTTCTAAAATTTCAAAAATAAGTCCTTTAAAACATTGCATCTTAATAGAATTAATTAATGATAATAATGATCAAATCAAAACATAATTATTAATAAAATATATATTTCAGCCATTAACGATGTTTTTTTATTTTAATAAATTAAAAAACATATCATATTATATACGAAATGCTTATTCATTGACTATATAATAATGATATAAATACATACATAATAAGAATATTATCTGACTTTTATAATATCTAAAATTTATAAAAAAATTTTATTAACATTCAAATATAACGTAATTATTTCCTTACTTCTGGATTAGTGTAGACCTATCAAAATGAATCTAATGATTTTTCGAATATTATTTTATTTTTTAAATTTTTTTTTTCTTTTCAGGAAATAAATCTTTAATCTATTAAACAACATTGAAAATTATACCATCATATATTTTGAATAAATGCAAGAAATTTTCTGATTTGAATTGATACTGAAATAATATATATATATACTGATATATGAAATTATATTTTACCTCGACGACAAAATGCAATGCAATCATTTACGTCAGCTGCCAAGTATCCTCCTATGGAATAATATATTTATATATCATTTAAGATACGTAATGACAGGATATCATATAAAAAATTCTATATCAACCAAAAGTAGCTCCTTTATAACAGTCTCGTATACATTTTGATTTCTGTGATTCATTGAGTGCACCAACTATAAAAACATTCTCATTAAATAATGTAATTTAAAAAAAAGATTATTACAAGATGTAATATATGATCCATCCGAAAATGAAAAACTACTTATAAAATTTCTTCTTTTAAAATCTGTTATTATTGATTGAAGTAAGTAAATGAGCATCAATCAATTACATTTAATATTTCAATACTTTTTCTTTTAATTTATACATATATATATATATATATATATATATATATATGTGTATAAATTATTATATATTGTTTTATAAGTTTTAGATTAAAAATGAAAAGTAGCAGATGAAAAAATTTCTTTTAATTTCATACTTGTGATACTACTGAAATTAAAAATTTACTAATAGTTATAGAAGATTCGTATATCGGCAATACTTTACCTTCACAAATCTGTATACAATCATTTAAATCACAATTCACAGTTACGTAGCAAATAATAAAGAAAAATAGTACCGTTCGAAATTTCATTGTTATTAATTTAATGTAAATATTATTATAATGTAACTGTAAATGGAATAAATTCTTGAATATTATTTTCTTCTATGTAATTTTCTATTATGGTCAATTTTATTGTATGCCTAGTAAAAAAAATTAATTATTTAATCACGAGTTATTTTTGATGAATCACGAATTATATATATAAATTTAGTCAAATTTGTTTTTACTAAATATGAGCTACTATTTTTTAATATTTTTAATATTAACATTTTTAGAAAATATCTTTTCGAATAATATTCCATATTAATATTCTTCAATATGTTCTTATATGCTTTTTAATATTGTAAATAATTTTAATTTAAGATTTTTAACAGATGGGACATTCTTGCAGTCTAAAAAGATTAGAATATTGATTCTACCACTGAATAACTTATTTATAATTTCAAACTTTTGTATAATATTCAGCTTTTCTAGAATTCTATTTAGTTTTGAATAAGAAATAATTTGTTTTGTATCTATAATACATTCGTTTTAAATCCTTTAGGATTTCTATATATGTAAACAATTTCTCTAGCCTCTTATTTGTACTTTGAATCGATTAACATTAAGCAATATTTTTGGTAATAAATGTTTTATACAGAAAATTACATTATTATGTGATAATATATTATATCTATTTAAATTATCTAATTTATATTCAAGAAAATGAAATATTATCAATTTTTATATCATTTTATTAAAATAATATTGAATTTAATTAGACACCAAGTCTCCAATGATTATTAATAAAGATTACTATTCTCCGGACAAGATAATTATTTATTTCGTTATTGTACTAAGGAAAAAAGATGATATTTTAAGTGATTTTACTGATAAAGTAAAGTAACTGACATATAATTTAAGTAAAAAATAAATTTAATTAATTATGTCATGGGAATAAACATAAGTCCAATAATCAAGTATAAATAATAAAACTAATATTTCTTGATAATTTTATTTAATCTTTAAGGTAAAGTACAATACAATAGTACAATTATACAGAGAAGACCAATAAATTAATAATGTAAAGTTATAATTTCAATTGATTTTTCTATATTCGAGCTGAAAACTAAAGACCGATACACTTAAAATACATAATTTATTCAAATACAGAAATAATTCACATTATAAATAAGATGTTTTTACACTATTGAATTTCAATATTTTATATCTCTCTATACCTATATATATTCATATTTAATAAGACGAAGGAAAATTTTTTTCAATCATTTTAAAAGATTTTCCTCTAATTTACTTTACTTATTCGCAAATATTTATACACATACTATAAAGACTATTTTTTGTCTTCAATACATCTACATGTAGCCTAAGAAAATCTATTAGAAAATATGTTTTACAATCACCTTGGTTGGCCATTGAAATCTATAAATAAATATTGTACTTAAAAAATGAGAACTTAATTCAAAAAAGTGTTTGATGTATATAGATTGATTATGGAAAAAATGAAAATGATGATAATGAAATATTCATTGTTTAACTGTCGTCTTATATAAATTACTTTTTTTATTTGGCTACTTGGCCGCCACTCTTAGGTGTTGAATAATGGGTTTTTCTGTAGTCATCTATAAAACCAAAATTTAATAAATATCAACATTATACCTATTACAATAAATGAAAAACTATCATTCGAAAAATTGTAGTTAATACTACCTGATGGATATGTGAAAACGAATATACAACCAATCTCGCAATTTTTCACATAATCCGCTTTCACTTCTACATTCAAAGAAATAATTCGAATAAAATAACAATCTTGGATAGGATTATTGAATAATGTTTATATTTCAAAATAATAATAATCGCTTCAGTTCCGATAGAATATTAATAGCAGTGAAATGTATTATTAATGGCTAAGATGAGCTAACACGCACTACTTTGCTTTTAAGAATTAATGAAACTATCTCGTAAATTTCTTTACAACATTAAGATTATTAAATTTTTTATGCAAATTTGAATATATATGTGCCTGAAAGTAGATATGTGTCTTATCGAAAAACATACTATTAAAAATTGTATAAAATATTCTATATTCATAAAATATAATATATTCTTGTTAAGCTTTTCATTTCGAGAAAATCATTAATACCTCAAAATAAATTAGTTATTAAAAATAATTATTTATATAATATTGACGAACAATATTATAATAATAGATAATCTTATTATAAAAAACATTTTGAGTAGAAATATAAGTAATATTAAAATTGATATCTTACTTTTCCGACAATGTGCAATGCATTTATTTACATTTTTCAATTTGTATCCTCCTATTTAATAATAAAATTTATTTAATAATATATAATTTTCTGTTATATTACCTTAAAATTGTAAGTATTTCAAATTTTACTGACCACAAGTAACCTCCTTATAACAAGATAATAAACATTCTATCTTCTGTGCTTCGTTTTGTGCACCGACTACGAATAATGTTTAATTATAAAATTCACATTAATATATTGAAATAAAATAAAATAATTATGGCTTTCTATAAGAATACATGTAATTTTTATAACTAACATAGTTTATCAAAAAATTTTTTATTTAATGAGTTGTTCTCAATGGATATGCAAGTAATCGGAAAAAATAGTAGATAGGAAAATATGCTTTCAAGCGACAGGAATATGTGTATATATATATATATATATATATATATATATATATATATATATATACATAATAATAATAATAGAATATGATAAATTTACTTTGTTCTATATTTGATAATTATTTGAAAAGTATAAGTGCATATACTTTCTTTGAGTACATTGGTAAAAGTGTGATAATGTAATCGAATTAGTCAAGAAATAGCATATGTCCGAGAAACTATAACTTGTTTCCAATGTTTCACATTTCTATACAACAAAATTTAATAAGAGACAATGGATTTCTGATTCCCTTATGAAGACATTTTTTAACCTTAACTCATTGTATCTGAAATTGTAAGCATGAAGTGGAAAGAGTATGTGGATGATGCTGATTATATTTTCGTTGTACAAATTTAACATTCATCATTCATTTAACGTTCATTAATTAAAAAAAAAAAAATTATTGCTCATTCCAGCGCCTAAAAATATTTTCTCAAAGGCTCGCTTAATTACAAACAAACAATCAGTGATTTATAATGTTTTTATTTTATAAATTATATTTTAAGTAGTTCAAAAAATTAATTAAATATTATTACACATAAGTGTATCAGTTACATTTGAAATTTGCTTATTAACTATATAAAAAAACTTATATTTCTAAGACGATAATACGAAATGTAAGAAGTAAAATTATATTTATAATTACACCATAATTTCTATATTTATTATTGTAACTATAAGAAGGACTAAAATAATATAACTAAAAGAAATCAAGATAAGAATAACAATTTACCATCACACATTTCAACACAATCAATTAAATCACTATTAACTGTTTCATAAGAAATAAGAAATAAAAATAATAGAACTATATGTTTCATTTTTATAAAATATGTTTAAAATAAAATCAAATAATTTCTTCAATATAATTTGTGTAGTCTAATATTTTCACAACCACATTCTTATAATATAGCCAGAATGTTAATAATAATGATATTATTATTTAGCATTTATTCCCGAATTACAGATAACGTTTTGTGATTTTGTTTTTAATGATTTTGTTATTTCACATTTCATGAATTCTTTATAGTTTTTCAATAATATTCCAGCCCATAGTGAATAGACACCAAATGATATGTAATTTATTATTGTAAATATTATTGTTCATTCTTTTTTTTTCTACATAGGCTATCTCAGAGTTTGAAAAACCTTTGATGAAATAATAAATTTTAAAAAATAATAAAGTAAGTTTATCCGAAGAATAAATAAAACGTAAACATTTTACTGTCAAAGTATACTGAACAAAATCTTAAAATATATAAAGCATAACGTAGTGTATTATGTGTACATCATCAGTCAATAGAATAAATTTTTTTCCTACTTCTGTTTTCTAACAATTTCAGAAGCACTAAAATTTTTAAGCCTTCCAACAAATGTCGTAATTTTATATTACAACTTGCATGGAAAAAAGCAATGAGAATGTACTTCGTTAACTCTTTTTAATATTATTCCTATTTTTAATTTTTAATAAAATGATTATATATTTTTATTTGCATGATGTCATTTGAAAAGAAAAAAAGAAAAAAAGAAAGAAAAAAAACGTAATTTTTATCATAATTTTCTATAAATTAGTGAAAACTCTTGTTAAAAAAATTAAAAAATTATTACGATTTAATTATATAATAATTTTACGTAATTTAAAAGCAGTGTTTCATTAATATTACATAGCATTATTTGAAGGAGATTTTTGTGATAATTAATCCTTTTTTATTTATAGTAACTATACTTATTTATAGTAACTATTTGAACTATGTACATTTAAATTAAATTACAATTAAATAAAAATAATTCAAAGTCATTCAATCCAATTAAATGTTAAGAATAAAAATGTTTATTTCTTAATATTTTATTTAAGTATTAGTGTCATATAAAATATATAAAAGAAAATTAATTAATCAATTATATTAAATATATGAAATTGTCGAAAATATTTGAATTATAAATGCCTAATAAATAGTATAACATTTAATTTATATGTAATGTATATACAATTAATAAATATGCTTGACATTTCTACGTGTACATGCAACGTAGAAACGAATCTTGGATCTACAAATCTACAAATTAAGCTTCCTTAGCTTTATTAATAAAAAGTAATCAAACTTTTGTAATTTTTCTATATATTTATTCTTATTTTATGAAAAACAGCGCAGACTATGTGACGTATGTAAAATATTATATTAAAACGATAAATATTCTCTATGTTTAACAGATACTATATTTTCTGGTATTTTCAAAATTTTAGAAAATTCAGTATGTAGCAGATGAGAAAAAAAATTAACAAAAATGACACTTGAAATGACAAATAAAAACTTTAATTAGTTATGACATTAAGAATAAATAACCAATAAAAACTAGTATGCATTTGTCTTCAAAGCTGGATTTACAAATTTTGTATTCATCAACTTATCTGAAAATTGAAAATAGAATGACAAACGAAGATAATTAATTACTAAAGAAATTCAAATATTATTTTTTAAAAATCATTTTCCATTGAATCAGTATTTCTCATTGCAGATATACTAATGAACAGCACCGACTCGTGAATTGTTTGCTCTTTCTTTTGATGGATCATCTTTTGAATTATTTGGAGGTTTTGTTGTAGCTATCATTCAAAATTATAAAATGATAAGAAATTAATACGATAATATTAGAGTTTATAATATTTCAAATTATGCTAAGTGAAATTACCCTTTCGAAGATCAAAAGTGAATCTGCATCCCTTTTCACAATCTTTTATAAATGACGGTTTCACTTCTAGATTCAAAGAAATAATTCGAATAAAATAACAATCTTGGATAGGATTATTGAATAATGTTTATATTTCAAAATAATAATAATCGCTTCAGTTCCGATAGAATATTAATAGCAGTGAAATGTATTATTAATGGCTAAGATGAGCTAACACGCACTACTTTGCTTTTAAGAATTAATGAAACTATCTCGTAAATTTCTTTACAACATTAAGATTATTAAATTTTTTATGCAAATTTGAATATATATGTGCCTGAAAGTAGATATGTGTCTTATCGGAAAACATACTATTAAAAATTTGCATTAAAATATATTATTATTTATTAAAAATATATTAAAAGCGCCTTTCCAGTTTTTTACATGAGCATGATTAATAAAGTTTTTAAAAGTAAATAGGCGAATATTATAAAATAGATGTATTAGTGAGAGAGTTTGCTTAAATGTCTTGGATCTTCTATTCTTAATTTGCCTTAGATTTCAGAAAAGAATCTCGATTGATATACGTATTATTATTTAATTTATAATTACGCGAATAATATCAGATTAAAAAAATAATCTCAACTCTATTCTTAATATATTAAATTAAGCACATACGATCTTATTCGATTCAGCTCTAATATTTAATAATGTTTGCCATAGTTTATCAATCGCAAAGAGTCGGAGTCATAACATGACGACATCAGATTCAAGATATTGGATTAGTTGAGTTTTTAGTAAAGTCACTCGAATATAGATTGTGTTATCAGTGGGATCATTTGGCAATGATTTGTCAGTCTACAGAATTGAATGTCACGGTATCACGGTATTACTATGTACTATAAAACGTTATCAATAAACACTTAAATGCTGATTATGTAGCTAAACATCACATTTATTTGAGTGAAAAATTTTATTCAATTCTTAATTATTTAATTAATAAATTCTGAAAAATATTACAACAATATAAATATGTATCTTACTTTTATGGCAAAATGCAATGCAATCCTCTACAGTTTTTAATAAATGTGCCCCTGTTTAATAAAAATTGATATATAATTTATATTAATATTCCTTTGAATATTTGTAAAAAGATGCTTAAATTGTTATTTTACTGACCACAAGTAACCACTCTATGACAATCTGCTATACATTGCCTTTTCATTTCTTCGTTGGGTGCGCCGACTATGAAAAAACACGCTCTTTCAGTAATATAATTTTGAAAAAATTGTAACATTAATTAATGGAGATTAGTGAACGCTCCCTGATCGATTAAATTTACAATATCATATTTTACGTGAACATTAGCATTTTTTATAAATAAAATTTCAAAACAATGAATTATACGTTTGGATAATTCATAATGAATATAAAAAGTTTACTTTTATTTTAAGAATTTCAAAATCATGTATCATAAAAAAAAATAAAGAAAAACTAAAGTGAAATGAATATGTAATAATACATTTTTATAATATAGTTTTCATCTACACATAAATTACATATTTCCCGTACAAATACAAATACGATATATCAATAAATATATCAACGATTTTATAATGATTTCATTAGAAAATTATGAAATTCTTAAGCTTTTGAAGCTAATTATTTTAATTAAAAGCTCGATTAATAACTAATTATATGTGAAGCATTAATCAATTAACCGAATGTGATACTTCTACAAGTTATAATATTTAATAATATAATATTATATGATAAAATTTACCTTCGCACATTTCAATACAATCAGTTAAATCGCAATTAACTGATACATAAGAAATGATAAATAAAAATAGTATAATTAGAAATTTCATTATTATAATTTAATTGTATTATATGTGATAAAGTTAATTCTTTAATATAGAACTTTTATTCTGATTTTCTTGTACGACCATCTTTTATAGTACACCCAAAATATTAATAATAAATAAATGAGTAAATGTTCACGAATTATACATAAATTTTACTCAATTTGTTTTTTAATGTTTTTGTTATTTCATGTTTTATGAAATTCGTTAGTTACTGAATAATATCCACCTCATAGTTTCTCCATATCTGATTAAATATCATATATTATTGTGAATATTTTTATTTGAGATTCTGTTCAGAAGGTTATTTTATAGAATTGAAAATAATTAAAGAAATTATAAGAAAATGAAAATACAATGCGGAACGTTAACAAAATTTTAAATAAATGAAGAAGGCAACGTGTCCAAATATGCTGCAAGAAGTACATAATGTAAATAAATTCATAACAATTAATATAACGATAATAATTTAAATAATATTAATAAAAATCTCAAGTTCAAAGAACTTAATTTTTAAAATGGCAAAAATGATTCATAATTTTTAATTTTCTCATATAGAAAGTTAGATTTTTGTCAATTATATTAATCAGATTTAATTGAAAATTGATTACTGTTTAAATAAAATGAATTGATTTAAGTTGATTATTTATATTAGTTGTAGCTGAAAAATTTCTACAACAAATTGTGCTCATATTTATTATATTTTCAATGATTTTAGTTATACTACTTGTATTCCTGTGGTTATAATTCAAAAAGTTTCTATATTTTATTATCAAATAAATACGGTCTCATCAATTTCCTTTCTATACTTTAAGTTGAAAAAATCAACAATTTCGATGACGAAGGTGCCATTCAACTTGAAAACATTATAACAAATCATAAATAAAACACAACAAACCATGGTGTAATATAATTTTAATAAACTGCAGCATGTCATTTGCATTTAATAAAAATTATTGTCTTTTAAACAAAATTTATAGACTTTTAATTTATTTAATCTTTATAAGGCAGATGAATTTTTAAATTCAATTAATTTGGTAATGCTTAGTATAGATAATGATAACAATTGTGGTGACATAATGGTTTACCTGATTATTTAATAAAGTTCACGACAGTACAAAAGATAAAAAATCCAAAACCTTTATTATTATTTAGGATATCTGATACTCTGAAAACAGAGAGGATGCAATTTAATTATATAACATTATTCTTTTTTTTTTCTTCCGTTTTTTATTTCTCTACGAAAAGTACTATTATTACATTAAAAATTAAGCTATTAAATATAAAATAAAATTTATGATAAGAAATAGCACATATTAATAACAATGGGTAAAATGTAAAATTTTATATACAATGCAAAGACAGAATAATATTAATGCATTCAAATAATAATATATATTACATAATTTATAATTTAATTATATTTTCATTGAGTCTTCGTTGGATGTGCAAATAATTTATTATAAAATATTGTAATAAATATTTGTTTATATTATACAAATGTCATTCGTACAAATATCAGCTTATAGATGACTTTATTTAATTCAAATTTCGACATTTTGTTTCGTATTTAATTTCTTAACATGTTATAGAAACCTGTTACGAGTTTCAATTCAATCATCACATGATATACTTATATATATATATATATATATATATATATAAATATAATTAAATATAATATAATAAATATAATATAATTAAAACAATTAATAAATCTTAAGAAATTAAAGTATGGAATGTACGATAAAGTTTAAATAAAACGACATTTGTTAAAAAAAAAATATATATATATATGATTGGTGTACACTTATTATCGTGGTTGTATACAAAATTTTTTTTATTTAACCATGCCTAAAATATAAGAAAATAATTAATGAAAACATATTAATAAATTAGTGGGGAAATATTGAAATTTCATTTATTTTGATGTTTTCTTACGTAGGTATAATTATTTCATTCCTTATTTACTGACTATTGAACATGTTGAGCTTGCTGCCCCGAATTATTTTGTCCTGCTGGAACTGATAATTGTAATTATCAGCAAATGTGCAGTAATGACTATAATACAATTAATGAAAATATAATTCTTGGATACATTACCCACTACAGGTGCAAAGTAGGTCGAACATGCTAATTCACAACTCTGTGCAGCCTGTCTTCGAGCTTCTAAATAAATTAAAAGGTACGAGCACGCATTTTTTTATTAAAATTATTTAAATATAAATTACTTATATATTATATAACACGAATATTAGTTTAACACGAATATTATTAATTATTTATTGCAATTTTAAGCGATTGATGACGATGTTAATACTCTCTCAATTATAGAAGAAGATCGAAAGTTAAAGTAACAATATTTCAATTCACTTCATCTTCACGTAAATATTAAAGATTATTGCTTAAGTTGCTATATTTATATATGTTAATACAAACTATATTGGTAAATTATCAATTATTGTCTATTCTCTATATAGTTTAATATCGATAGTTAAGCACATTAGACATTAGACTTAATGACATGAACTCAAGTTCTTAGGAGGTCCTGGATTTTCAACTGAAGTTGGGAAAATTAGTTGAAGATGAGATGATTATGTAATGACACGGACAAGTGTACTCTAGATAATATAAAGCAATAATTCAATAGTTTTATTCGCAACTGTTTAATATTTGCATACCGTGCAACTAGCAATAACAACGTTATTCCCTTTACCATACATTTAGTCATGTTTGTTCAGTGAAAAATATCAGACTCACTCAAATAAACAAAATGACAATAATGTTAAACTCATGATCAAACAGCAAAATGTTACAGGGAACTTCACAAGAAGGACTATAATGCTTGTACGAAACCCACATTATGAAGTATTTGAAGAGAAAACACTGCGCTAATTTCTTGTTTCGATCAAATTTTTATTTATATGAATTTTAGTGTGAAAAAACTATTTCTCAGACTATCCCTAAGACGTTACATTATCTATTCTTATATTAATCTATAAAGTTTTGCGAAAATTAATATATTAGGATGTATCTTACTTCTGCGGCAAGCTGCAATACATTCATCTACAGTTTCACGCTTATATCCTCCTATTGAATTAGAAAATAATTTATAATTTACATTTCATTGTTATTATTAAAATAATGAATATAAAAATTTTTCTTAACCACAAGTAGCAACTCTATAACATTCTCGTTTACAAAACCACTGTTGGTGCAAGTCCTGGGCACCAACTATAAAAAATAACTGATAATTTAATATTTTCAAAATAAATATTTAATCGTGATATTAATATGAATGTATTGATATTAATTATTTTACAATATATCATAAATATCTTAAAAGAAATCATTTAATTTTTTCATATTCTGCATATATATATATATATATATATATATATATATATATAATTGGACAAATTGTATGAAACCTTTGATCGCGAATATATTGCTTTTCAATATTTTTTAAAACAATAATGTATCAAACATCTTTAACATTTTAAACAATGACGAAATATTAGTTATTGAGTAAGAAAATTTAATTTGTCGATTGGGACGAATTAATTATTCAAACATTAAGGTAATCAATCATAAAAATAAATAATACATTCAATTAAAAAAAATTATTAAAATATCAATATTAAAATAAATATAAATAAATGTATAATGTTTCTTTATTAAAATCAACTAAATATAAATTATATTTTTACCCAATGAATGTTAATATGAAAGCTATGAAAAAATATTATAAATTTCTAAATTGTGAATAAAACACATTACTTGATTTTGAAACAGGTTATCATACCTTTGACATTTCAAAATTTAATAATAAATATTGTTAATAATTAGAATTTTTACGTTATATAAAACTGTAAATTAAAATTGAAACAATAATTTACCTTCGCACATTTCAAGACAATCATTTAAATCGCAATTAACTGATACATAAGAAATGATAAATAAAAATAGTATAATTAGAAATTTCATTATTATAATTTAATTGTATTATATGTGATAAAGTTAATTCTTTAATATAGAACTTTTATTCTGATTTTCTTGTACGACCATCTTTTATAGTACACCCAAAATATTAATAATAAATAAATGAGTAAATGTTCACGAATTATACATAAATTTTACTCAATTTGTTTTTTAATGTTTTTGTTATTTTATTTTTCCATGAAATTTGTTAAAGTTTCAATATTATATTCTACTGAATAACTAGATATTTATTTACAAGTTATTTATGATTGCAAAAATTATTATATGAAATTTTCTTCTTTTAAAATCGAAAATTCGTGGAAATTATTATATACGATTAGATAAAATAAAAATACAAAAATATTAATAAAGAATAAAAATAATAATTATTAATTCATAATTATAACGGAAATAATATTATATTATCACATGCAAATAAAAAATTAATTACGAATACGAAGGCATAGAATATGAATAACGCAAGCTAAATTATAAAAGTACTATTATTGTATGTCGAAGAAATATATTCATCTATATTGTTTATTTATATGTAATATTAGATTCTTGTTAATTATATATATATATATATATATCAATAAATCTATTATTAACTTATTATATTAATTAATTCAAAATATTTCATATCAAAATGAAACTTTTTGAAGCAATCAGTCAGTGTTCAAATAGCTTCAATAACAAATATTCTCTACATATTAATCAATAATCAATTATTAATGAACATTACAGTATTTACTAAATTTTTGGCTAAATTAATTTTATTGGGCGCTAGAACCCAACGGCGTTATTGTTTATTATTTATTCGACACATACTGTCGAATAATTAATTTAATTCTACATATTTTTAACTAAGTTGTGCAATTGACGTTGAAAAGGTCAATATTAATGTTGTAGATATTTATATTTAAATATTTCATCTGGAAAAAATTATAAATATTGATATTTGATAGTTATTAAAATTTTTTCATTATTCCAAGATTATCGGAATTTTATAGAAACAAATGACTATAAATAAAAAAAATTATTGTTATTTTAAAAACAAGCCTAAGGTAATAAAAATATATAATTTCCTTATCAAGAAAAACTTTCTCTTCAATATATATATATATATATGTAGATATATATGTAGAATATATGTAGACATTTATGTAGAACATAGATTATTGAATGTATTTAGTGAGTAGAGAAGATTTAATTTTAATAAATTTGATTTTTCGAAAAACATGAAATACGATAAATACGATAAAAGAAATACAAAAAGTGAACAAACTCGCAATATAAACTAAATCATCTATATTATATTATAATACGATTGTAGAATTATTATGTTGAAAGAATGGTAACCTTACTAAGTTACGTCCGTTTTACTGCATTTTATAATTTATAATTAATTATATACAAATTGATCCAGAACACGAGAAACTCGCAATGAAACAGCGTACAAGAAGATATGGTAATAGAAATACAAAAAAGGTGTGACATAAAAAAAAAAGTAAAAAGTATTTCTTGTTATCAATATAAAAGTTATGTTCAATTACTAGTTCTAGGAAACTCAGCTCTTAAATTTTCGTAAAGTTAAATTTAGTTTTAATTATTACTGTACGTGATATTCTTCCATATGTATATATATATATATATATATGTATTCTTCAATTCTTTAATTTTGTAGAATAAATCTAGTTAAACATAAAATAATGAAAAACGATATATGATGTAATAGGTTTTATTTATCTTTTACTTATAATTTCTTCATTATTTATTTACTTATAAGACTTATAAATTCATTCAGTTCTATGTATTTTCAAGAACGATTCTTTTTTAAGACAAAATAAATTGTGAATAAGTTTATACACATTTTACATTATTCAACTGAAAATATTTCTGAATATAATATACGTGCTTAATAAATATATGTGTATGAAAAGAAAAATATATGTATACGTTTATAGAGATGACTTAAAATATATAAAATTAAATATTTCATTTGCACATAAAACATAAACTTTTAAATATTATTATGCCGTTCAGTGCGCATACGGTATCATATCGGCTAGAGTAGAATTTTGAAAAAATAATATATAATTATTTTTTAAAATATCATTTATGCTTATATTGAAATATAATTATTCAATTTATATATTTTTCGAAAATTTCTATTTTCTGCAACCAAGAAAAAATTGTTTCGAATAAATTGATGAAGTAATTAATAGGAAAATAACAACAGTTTCATTATTCGTAATTTATTCAATTCGTTTTATTCTGCTTTATTAAAATATTTATTAAAATGTATTAAAATATTTTCATATTTTCATAATATACAATACTAAGAGAACGTCTTGTGGAAAGAGAAAGTTTTATTAATATATCAATTCATATATACTGATTAATTATTACATGAAAATATAACGTTTCCATAATTAAATCAAGTAAAAATTTTATAAATAATGTTATTGGTTCTTAATTTAAATATTGTGTAGTTAACCGTTTCACTATCCGCTTCCTGAAGCTTCTCCTGAATTTGCTAAAATATTATATCATTTAAAATAAGGAAATATATGCATATGTCTAGTAAAAATTTTTTTTTATATTTACTCTTTTTTCGGAAGATGAAAGTGCATGCAATTTTACAATCTGACAAGGGTTGTCCAGTGACTTCTAAATTTAAATAAAAATATATAATAAATATATAAAAATATATGAAAAAAATATAATTTAATTTAATTTAATATACCATTTAATATTTTTAATCTAACTATTAGTTTAATATCTTTAGCAATTTCGGTTACATTTTAATTAGTGTTATCGGCTCTTTCGAATACATTAGAAAAAATTAATAGAAATAATATTGAAAAAGTGCGTATGTCCAAACCTATTTAATAATATTTCAAGCTTTTAGTCAATTAATATAATGATATAGTAGACTTATATGGTAATACTTTCAGGAAAGTTATAACACATTAGAGAATAAGAGAAATAAATTATATCTATAAATTACATAACTACAATTATAAATAAATTATTATTTGAAATTTTTTTAATTCATGTTCCCCTCGGTACTAGTAAATTTCACTTATAGCTAGTAATATTCAATTTATACATTTTTTTCGTCTTTTTTCTATTATTACACAATTATTATAAATTTTTATCTAATTCAGCGTTTGCGAATTGTAGCTTTTAATATTGTTATAATTAAAAAAAAATTTTTGTATTATTATTTTTATTTTGCATAGTATATTACGTATCAATGTATAATAAAATAATAAAGTTTTTACAGCGTATTAGTTTTACATTATATAAGGTTAAACAATCATTAAACTATCGCGACCCATTTATTAAACCTTTCTTAGTGTAATTATATTTGCATAGAAAATAATATCTTACTTGTACCACAATGAGATATGCAAGCATCTTTAGACTTTAATTTATATCCTCCTATATACGAATGACAATATTAATTGATATGCAGGCAAGTGTTACAAAAAGAAATTATATATATCATATTTATATATGAACTTTCACTGACCTTGTGTAGCCGTTTGATGACACTCCATAATACAATTCCACCTTTGAGTTTCATTGGATGCACCAACTGTAAAAAGCAGCATGGAAAAGAAAAAAGTGGGGGAAAAGGAAGGGAAAAAGGCAATGAATATTTTAGTAAAATATAATAATAAATATTTCGTAATTTATTAGTAAAATAAAATAATAAAAAAAATGTCTAAACTATAAAATTTGTGTAAAGCAAAGTTTCATTGACATATTTATATAATGAAATTACAAATTAATTACCAATACTTCATTTACTATTTGTAAAATCTTTTATTCATTAGTTGCATAAATACAATATTTATAATCATTATCTATCATTACAGAAAAAAATTGTTATTAATTTATTATATATGCAATCAAAGCAAAACTATTCTAGTATTTTATGTCAGTTTGATTTCAAATAATTTGTTGTATCAATTTTCATCAAATGTGTACAATATTTAAAAATAATTCTTTACAATACACAATAACTTCATATATCGACTAATCTATTTGAGAAATGTCGATATACGGGGAATCTGTAAATTTATATGAAATTATAATTTAACTTTAATTGATGCAATGCTTGAACATTGAACAATGTAATTAATAGAATAATAGAGAGTATAAGCAGTATCATTAAAATTATAGAAAATATGTTTACCTTGGCACAGTTCGATGCAATCTACCAATGCACAATCAACCGATGCATATGAAAGTACAAACAAAAAAATGGCTGTAATGAGTATCATTTCCTAAATATTTTTCGATCTTAAATAAAATAAAACAAAAAATGTTAAATATTTAATATGTATACAAAATTTGTTCAGCCCTCATGTTTTATAGTATGCCGAGGACATAAATGATGAACATATCATATAAATATACATGAAATACGCATAAAAACTTAATGATTTTAATTTTTAATTCTTTTGTTATTGAATTGTTATAAGTTTCAACAATTCAGCTCAGAAATATTACAGATTGTATAAATATTTATACTTGAAAGTGAGAATTTAAAATTTTTTATAAAGTCATTACAAAATACATTGATCATAAAATATGCATTCGATAGAAAAAATCATCAAGCATATTAATTGTTTACAATTTCTGATTGACTGTTATATATAACATGATATTACTTATATCAGCAATTTCAATTTTATTATATTTAATTGTATGATAAAATAATTTCTAGGAATGCCCGATTAATTTTTAAAGCGCAAGTTTATGATTTTTATAATTACGATATATAATCATCGTATATACGATGTATGTGATATATAATCCATATCGGTTAGTAACGTTTCTCAGATATGTTCAAGGATATTTGTAACACCGAGAAACAGTAGCATAAATTATATATATACATAGTCTAATGCATTTGATGAGTAAATATAAAACGAATCAATTTGTCTTTATTTTTGACATGAATAATTCGGTACACATGAATGTTTATTTTTTCGAAGTAATTGACTGGACGTTTATTGACCGTCAAACATTTTCGATTAGCCTTCATAAAACAGATTTTTAAATACATATCAAAATTACCTTGATTCATGTTAACTTGAAATAAGTAAGTATTTGTAATTATAATAAAATACATTGACTATGAATTTACTTAGATTTCAAATTAGTGATGCAGCACTAAAATAATGAATAACGTCGATAAGAAAATTAATATTTTGTTAAAATCTTAGACACTTTGGACGAAATCGGAGTAATTTATAATTAAAAGGTAATATTTATTGTAAACAAATCATATAATTATTATATTAGGCATGTAACGAAATATTATTATATATAGTGTTGATGAGATAAATGAAAAAGAAAGCAAATTGAGTTAGCCGTGTAGGAATTGATTAATATTCTGAATCTGAAAGATAAAATTGACTTTAGAAACACAAAGATTTTACAATAAAATATAAGCATCGGAGAAAAAAACTTGAGAACATATGAATCCGAAAAAAAAAAACAGATGCACTTGCGAAGAATGAAAGGTCTGTTATGTGTAGGATAACTGGCGACTTCAAAACAAAAATTTCTGGATTTCATGACAACTTGAATTTATATTTTTTTTATAAAATAGAATTATAATATAAATAACATTCAAGATTCTACTTTATTATCAGAGATTATTGAAAAATTAAATAAATCTTGATTGACAAATAATCTTCTAATTTTTTTAATCGCAAAAGAATTTTGTAAATAAAAGATGAATTTATTATAAAAATTTTGTACATATACACACATTAACAATTGCAAATAAAAAATAAATATGGTAAAACTATTTTTTATTTTTATAAAATATTACAAGTGCGTGCAAAATTAACAAAATTCTTCTATTACAAAGTCATTAAAAATATAATCGACTCTCATGGTCTTCTTGATCCGAAGATGGAAAAATAAATTGACTTGCAACATCAGTCAGATTGTCAGGCTGCCATGAGGCGTTGGTAGAATAAGTAAAATAGAAATATTTAAACTCGGAATCATATTCTTATTTTGATTTCTGCAGAATCTAAATATCAAAAAATGTGATCTTTTAACATTTTGAATTTCCAATACATCATACCTCGGATTGGAAGATTATCCACGATGACCTCTCCTTCTCCCAGGATTCCTAGCCGTCGTAACTAGAATATACGATTTTTATTACACAATTGTTACTAAAACAAATAACAAATAAATAATGATATTTTATTTCAATTTTTGTTTTCTAACTTACCATTACGTCGGAAGAGAAAAGTACATGCAATTTTGCAATCCTCAATAAGTCCTTCCGCAGCAACTGAATGGATTAAGATAATATTAAGATATTGATGTAATAATCATATTCAGTTATTTCGAATCAGTAATTGCCATTTAAAAATAGGAATGAAAAATATAATTAATGCAAAAGATATTTTGAAAAAGATTGAGTAAATATCGTAAACTATAAATCTCGATTCATACAGAGTTCATATATAAAGATCTTCTATAATATGTAGATAACTTGTATCTATAGTCTCACACTCCATAAATACCTGGTAAATCGAATACAAACCTGGTGACACATAGGTATGTTACATATAAAAACAAATTAACAGAAATATATCTTACTCCCATCACAATGACTGATGCAAGCTTCTTTACTTCCTAGTTCATTTCCACCTAAACAAATAATTAAATAAGGTCAGTTTATTATTGATTTTATTATTAAGGAAAAGAAATTTTATGATAATTCTCTGACCACATGTAGCCTCTCGATGGCAATTCATGATGCATTCCCACATAACCCGATAATTCGACGCGCCAACTGTTGGAAGATATCGTTTAAGTAAATTTAGTAAACTATTAGTATATATTTGTAGGAAAAATTTGGAAAGAAAGATAGGCAAGTAGAATTTATTAGAGATATTTATTTAAGGGAAATTTATTCCAATACCATTAACATGCTTTTACAGACTGAACTATCATAATAAAATACCAGGGTACAAATAAAACAAAAATTAGTCATATTATAATTGATTTTATGCATCTCATTGAAATTGTTACTCTGCATGCACATGTTTGTAATATGATAAAATCACTAACCATCCGGATCATCGTTGTTCTGATATATTAAAATCTCTTAAATGAAAAACATATTATTTCAACTGATTTCTTCGGTAAAAATTATATATTTATACCCGCTGATACTTGCAATATACGATTCATTAATTGAAAGAATCATCAATATTGCCTCAAAAATATGATAAAATTACAAAAATTAGTATTTACCTTGACATACTTCAATACAATCAATTAATTTACTATTAACAGATGCAAGAAACATAAAAAATAAAAAAATTAAAGCAATGATCTTCATTTTGTAATTATAACTATATTTAACATCTAATAAAATTCCTAATACGAAATAGTTATCAAAACTTTACTGTTCAGTCATCTTTTATAGTAAAACCAGCACATAGATAATACAAAAATGAATAAATATATATGAAAAACAGATAAAATTTATTCACTTTCCTGTTTAATACTTTTGTTATTGAATAGTTAGACGAATTTCTGTGTGAGCTACTCAGTAAACACACTTTAATAAAAAAAAAAAAAAAAAAGTTGCCGTCAGAGAAAGAGACAAAGAGAGAGAGAGAGAGAGAGAGAGAGAGAACAAAAACAAAAAGATTGAGTCAACAAAAAGAACAAAAAGAAGTCGTGGGGATATAAGAGAGACAGATAGATAAAATACACAAGGAGAGAGAGAGAATGCTTGTGTGTGTGTGCGCGTGCGTGTGCGTCTATACGCGTATAAAGAAGATCCGATTTACGTTTACTGGCCTCTCTTCAATCTACATATAAGTGAAGCACGTGAACACCTACATTCGAATATGTAGAATACTTGTGCGACAGTAGACAAGAGAGTAAGATGAAAAATATCGTATGACAATGGATAAATATAAATTTAACGGTAAAGGTAAAATTTTTCTGTTTATTTTTATTGTATAAAGGAGAGAGGAAAAAATTAATAACAAAATGTTTGATTACTCTGAGAATGTTGAAAAATATTTAGTTAAAAAAGGCTAAATTACCAATGCATAGTGTGCATTGTTTTCTTGGTTATTTCTAATAGCGTTATAAACATTATATTAAATTTTTTTTCGTTTATAATTCATAATTTACGACAGGAAACTAATCTGAGGAATAGTAAGAATAATTATAATGAATGATTATTGAGATGTAATATGATAATGTTTTATAGTCAAATTTAGTCGATACATAATTAGGAAATGGATTTGATAAAGATGGATTTGATGAATTAGTGAAAAAATTATGAAACTCGTGAAAATTAACGAAAAAAATTCTCAAATTATTCCTTGAGTTCAGTATCAGATAAGATGAAGCTTTTGTCGCGATATGAAAAAATTAATTCATACAAATTTAATCATTTTTTCACTCATTTAATAGCTTCATTCCTATTGATAATGATAATAAAAAATCGATGCTGTGTAAAAGATTGATTTTCTTAAAATTCTAAAAATTCTGAGAATTGTTCACTAAAGAATATTCGTGTATCTGAAAAATCAATGAAATTACCTACATTCCAAACGGTTCTGCTTCAGAATTGAAAATAATCGGAATACTATAGTTGGCTTGTAACATAATTTTAAATAAATTGTTGATTATAATTTAAATTCCTTTTGCCAAATATTGCTCTAATTATATAAACGAATTGTAAATTATATTTTTAATTACAGCAATCTCCATATATTTCATCTCTATATTAAATAATTAAATAATAATTAAATTAACAGAATGTATTAAATTTTATTGAGCAAATGCTGTTTAGAAATTTTTCATATACCTTTTTGTATTTCTATACAATGTTAATGTTATTTAATTAAAATGAACAGTCGACTAAATATTGTCTGATAAAAACGTTTTGATGAATTTCAAAACATTCACTTGACAACTCCATAATAGCCAATTTCTCTTTATTCTTTTAAACAAAATTATGTAAATTTAATAAGGAATTAGTATAATTATTAAGATCAAAGTTGTAAATACAACTAAAAAGTCATAATTATAGATGAATGTACAACGCGTAATGTACACGAGAACATGTAATTATGACTATGTGAAGAAAGTACGAGAAGTCGAAAAAATAATGAAGCATCAAGGAAATTATAAAAGCATTTTTTAAGGAAGGAGAGACAGGAGATCGAAATATATAATATATGAACATTTAATAAAAAAATTTTCAAATTTTATCAGATTTAGAATTCAGAGATATAAAATATTTATTCAAAAGTACTTTAAATTTTCCTATTCATTATAATTTCATCGACTCGGCGTTCACACCGTTTTACTCACGCTTACATATTTAAATACTCAATATTTATCTTCGTCTTTTTGAACAAATTTTAAATAAATAAGCCTTATTCAAACTCGAAATAATATCTTACTGGAAATACGTTTATTTTATAAATAAAAGCGACAAGCGATGACGTTTAATTATTCGAGATTATGTCTAATATTTGTATTTTAATAGTATAATTTTCTATTTTATAATATAAACTAGTAATACGTTATTTCACAATCACATAGATTAATCTGTATTAGGCTTTGACACTTGCAATTGCCGAATAGTTTTACACAGATATGAACTCATCGAACAATTTGTTGTCTGTGTTGAGGATTTTGATTCAAGCACATTACTAATGAGTTATTGGTAAACTATTAGTTCTAATATTTTTACTCTACTTTCTACCAATCCAACTACATTGAATATTCTTACAAATCTAAATTCCAAATATTGTCAATTGATAGAAAAATATTTTTATAATATAATTGTAATTATATTGCGTTCTTATCACTAAATATCAATCTAAGGCACTTTAATTCTTATTATTTTTACGGTAGTTTTATTATATACAATTGTCGTCGCGGAGTATCTCACTTATAAATATTAAAATTGAATTATTAAATAAGTTGCGATATATCGATACGTTGGTGGAATGATTTTCAAAATTTATGTTATTAATTAAGAATTTCTTTACATAAACTTTATGGTTAGTTTTATACATATACGAATGCTATTATCTTCTCACTCTGACATTGGCAGTATCATGTGGATTTCTGTTTGATTATAAGCTAAAATTCATATGTACAAAGATCAGTGAAATATATGATATCACAATATAATTATAGTATTTTCTAAATATTATATCATATTACATATAGGAACACCAAAGCTGAACATACATCCAATTTCACAATCTTGCACGAATTCTCTTTTAATTTCTGGAATAAAATAAATAACTTAAATGAAATCACATTATTTACTATTATTAATGAAATATACAGAATTTTAAAGTATAACTTTGTTCGATATTTTGAATGAAGAATTACATATATCATTCTAAAAATGTAATTTTCGAAACTAAGTAAGATACATTATATGAAAAAGTGGTTCAATTTGATAGATAAATATTCAATAAAAAAAAAAAAAAAAAAAAACTGTTCCCATATTTGTATTAAAAAGTTTTATTGTAATATAAGATTAGTCATTTAAGTATAATAAAATTTATTATATTTATTTTATATCATTTTATCGGTCCCTGTTTTATTTATTTTTGTGTATATACATTATGATTAAAGTTAATATGTATTACACATGTACACATAAGAAAATTTAGTTAATAATCGTTTATATAAACATATATGCATATAAAATATTCCGTAATAAAAATTATAATTGGATTAATATATTTTATATATTAATTATTTTAAAGTGATTTATAATTAAATTTGAAAATATACAATGAAAACAGTGTTATGATGTTACCTCTGAATATTTAAATTATTGAATAATAAATATCTTACTTGTACGCTTGATTCCTTCAAGTCGCTCCTCTTTATTAAAGCAAAATTAATAGTGCAAAGTTAGTGCAAAATTAATAATTCAAATTTATATATTGTGCAATTAGGATTACTACTAAAGTTTTATATAAGAACTTGCAATAATATATATATTTACCTCTACATAGATCAAGACAATTTATTATTGAACAATTGACTGATGCACAAACAATTATAAATTAAAAAAAAAAGTAAAAACGCTAATTTCATTTTTTTGAATAATTTTATTCAAATAGTAAAAATTAAAAATATTTGAATGTAGAAATCCTATTGAAATCCTACAAACTGTTAATATTTTATAGCACAACTAAAACAGCGATAATACAAAATTACTAAATTAATAAATGTACACGACATGCACGGAAAATCTATTTACATCACGGATAATATAATTATTTTTTTCTTCAATAATTTTCTTATATTAAATTCTTAATAGGTTTAAATAATTTACTTGTTTCCGCTCAAATTTTGTCAAATCATTCATGCTACTTAATATCTTTATTGCAAAATCCAAACGGCTTATTGCAATCGTTTAAAATTTCGTTGAAAAAAATACTAAATATTCTTGAAATAAAATGCTAAATGTTTATTGAGGTAACATTAAATTTCCTACCGTTGTTAATAATCATCAACAAACACTAATAACATAAATATTATAGTGCTCTAATATCAATTTATATTAGTGAAAAGTGTAAGGCATGTAAGCTTATGAAATTATATATAAAATTAAATGTATAAACTATTGTATGAATAAAGTTGGGCAAATAAAATTTAACAAACTAAAAATGTCGTTAATTTGAATTTGAATTGTTATAATAAGCAAACTATTCAATTAATTTTCTCACTGTTCTTATTTCTTATTGCTTATTTCAACTTTTAATATTCTTAAATCTTATTCTTATTTAATTAAAATCAATTGCACATTATTATGTTATTTATGAGAACTTGTTGTACGAAAATAAGGGAACATATCAATATATCTGAAATAATTATGAAATCACAATGATACTTCTATGAAACATTAATAAAATGCTTTTACACATTTTAAACTTGAAAATTTATAAGCCCATAAATTTTCTAATAATACTTTTTCTAATATAATACTCTAAGAGAATATTATAGTAAAGTTTTAGGAATCAGTTATAGGACCAGAGATAAGCAATTATCCTTATTGCAAATATATAAATAAAGTATTCTTATATTTAAAAGTTAAATTTAAAAGTATTAAAAGTGCTAAAAAAACATTAATTATTTATAATTATTGGTATATGAACTTAATAATTAAAATTAATTAAAATTTATAATTTAAATAATTGGAAGGTAAATAATATTAATAATATTAAATAAATTTATTTAGTAGTTCCAAATTAAATAACTAGATAGTTAATTTTTATATCATTACACAATAAATTTTTATATTTAATAGATTAAAGAAAAAGAAGAAAATAATATTGGAATAATAAGATTATTTAGTATTTTGAAAAATCTAATCACATGATTAGATTTTTCCCTACGTACAAGTATCAATGAGGTAAATTTTTTATTATTTATCTCTGCATAATAATTGATTAATTGATAATTATATGGATGAATGTAGAGAAAGGCAGAAATTATAGCTAATTTATGTATCGGAGAGTGACAGGTATTCCGTTATCATAACAAAAGAAGTCGATGATTGCTGTGGTGTTATACTATACTGTAAGTCTTTCTTCAATCGACAATAGATAAGATAAATAAATAGCCGATATCTTTTTTATTGAAAAGAGTACTGGCAAATAATGAAAAAAACGATACGACAGTAAAAAAATAGTATTAACCAAGTAGTATTAACCATATTCACAAGAAGCCAACATGAGAGTCTTAGACTATGACTTTAGATTGCATACAAAATGTAGATTTTCAAAAATGAAACGTTTAAAAAATAAATTTTGAAAAAGTTGTACACTTATTCGTTATGCTATTCGAATAATAAGAAAAATCTAAACAAGTATAAGAAGAATGTGAAAAGTTTCGTTATATATATTAAAAAATTTCCATTTACATGAATAATTATTGGAGATTGAAATTTTTATAAAAATATGATCACCTTATTATTTCACAATTTGTTTATTTTATGGATATTCTCTATTTATATGTAATCTGAAGATTGTATTTTTAAATAAATGAAAAGTCAATAATTAGTGAATATAATTATAGTTTATTATATTATATTATTAAATGATTTCAAAATTGATTGGAAAAAGATCAAACTTTAGATTGGACGAAATTAGTTAATTAAAATAAGATCCCATATCAATCAATAAATAATTAAATATAACGAAATACAAAGTAGATAACAGCTTAGTATTTTGAATGAGCGCTATTGATAAAAATATAATTCCAAGTACGTATATTTTCCAAGATGAAGTTACACAAATTATAAATCGTCCTAATCAATATATTTTTATTAGGATTTAACTAACTTTACTGTTGAAAACTCGGAAAATAGCACAAAACAAATAATTTGATTATAAGATGGTTAAAATCATTATTTGGGTGGGAGGACCAAGAGTCAACCGAGATTATCCTACAACTGCGTTTTAAGTTTAAACCTTCATCGTACTAAAATTGAAAAGTCAAAAAGACAGAAAAAGTGCGTGGAGATGAAAATCTACGGGATAAAGGTATAGGGGGGGGGGGGGGGGGGGGGGGGGGAATGTATCAACTGCCGAGTACTTTATATTTTCACTCTTTACTTTTCCACTTTTTCACAATTTACTTTCTTTTCAAACAGATTTTAAATAATCAAGCACGCTTTATTACATATTTGTTCATCGCATTAAATATATGGATCTCTGATAAAAGTTATGCTGATATTTATGTAAACTTTTACAATCAGATTTATCATACGGAAGCTTAATATATTTTCATATAAATTTGAAAGTATAATTTTTATAAGACGAAAATTTTTATAAATAAAATAATAAATATAAATTATATAAACAAGTTAAAACATTCAATATTCGTGCTCCTTTGAATATTATGTTTTATTTACACGTATTTCTGCTCGCTTCATATAATTTATTCTTTCCCGGTTTCGAATCTTGAGATTTTTCAGTTGTCGTTACAGAACTTTGTGCTGTAAAGTTCATTAATTTTATTACACACTTGACGGTAATAAAAGAATAAAATTAAACAATTACATTTTATAATGTTATTGACTCACCAGCATGTCGGAAGATGAAAGTGCATGCAATTCTGCAATCATCTATGAATTCCGTTTTAGCACCTAAAAGTCGAGTAAAATAAATATAATGATTACGTTATGTATATTTACTCATTACGATGAATAATTACGTAGATTAAAATTCAATTTAGCTAATTAGGCAAGTAATTCAATATAATTAATCGAAGATATGAATTAAAGATAAGGTTTAAGAGAAAAAGTTAATTAAACTTCGTAAATTCAACGCATATCAATATAAAAAGTTATTTCTTAAATTTAATAGATTTATACTATACTATATGTAGAATTTATATATAAAATATTCATGATATGTATAAACATTAACATTATAATATTTAAACAAACTGTTTAGTAAAAATCACGAAAAATAAAACATAAATATGAATCTTACGCATATTACAGTAAACTAGGCAGGCATTAACATTTGGTAATTTAAATCCACCTGCAAAAAAATCATATTAATAAATATTATTAAAGAAAGCATAATATTAGTAAATAATGCTTAATTTATTATTATTAAAGGAAAGAAAATGTATGGTAAGAAATTCACTGACCACATGTAGCCGCTCGATGGCAATCCATAACACAATTCCACATGACTTCATGATTCGATGCTCCGACTGTTGGAAGATATCGTTTAAGTAAATTTAGTAAACTATTAGTATATATTTGTAGGAAAAATTTGGAAAGAAAGATAGGCAAGTAGAATTTATTAGAGATATTTATTTAAGGGAAATTTATTCCAATACCATTAACATGCTTTTACAGACTGAAGTATCATAATAAAATACCAGGGTACAAATAAAATAAAAATTAGTCATATAATTGATTTTATACATCTCATTGAAATTGTTACTCTACATACACATGTTCATAAAATCACTAACAATTGTTCTCATCGTTGTTGCTATATATTAAAATCTCTTAAATAAAAAAACATATTATTCTTGATTTCTTATTAGAATTGATTTCATCGGTAAAAATCATATTTATAACCACTGATGCTTACAATTTATGATTAATTATTATATAAAATATGAAAACAAGTATCGACTCAAACATAAAACAAAAAAATTATTAAAATAAGTATTTACCTTGACATACTTCGATACAATCTTTTAATTTACCATTAACAGATGCAATGAAAATAACAAATAAACAAATTACAGCAACAGACTTCATTTTATAATTATCACTGTATATCAGCATAGAATAAAATTCTCAATATGAGATATTTATTAAAATTTTGTCGTTGGGTCATCTTTTATAGTACAACCAAAAGGTAAAACAAACATACATAAATATGTATGATAAACAGATAAAATTTTCTCACTTTCCGGTTTAATGCTTTTGTTATTGAATAGTTAGACGAATTTCTGTGTGAGCTACTCAGTAAACACACTTTAATAAAAAAAAAAAAAAAAAAAAAGAATGATATCTTATAATTCTGGATTATAATTATTATGTGTGTTATAAAGCGTAATTATAATTTGTAAATGTTTTTTTTATAGACGAAACTGATATCAATTAATACGAAATTTTCGAAAATTTAGCATAAGCACAGCAAGCAGTGCCGAAACAACGAAATTCCCGACTTTGCATTTGCTAAATTATTCAAATTACAACTCGAATCATCTAAAGTTAAGGAAACCCCGAGTAATATTATTATGATGAAATGTAATAAGGAAAAATGATCGATTATAATTGCGTAAAGTGTATATTTGTAATATCTAATTCATGTTTGCGCATTTGATGCTCAAATATTCCTATTTTATTTTCTACTCCTACAAGTCCGTTGTATACTCTTAGAAAATCAAAATCCCAAATATTGTCAATTGATAGAAAAATATGTTTACGACATCATTATAATTACAATATGTTCTTATCACTAAATATAAATCTAAAGCACCTTAATTCTTATTGTTTTTACGTTACTTTTATCACGTATAATGTAGCAAATTTTAATCAATTTTAAATTTAATCATTTTTTCACTGATTTAATAGTTTCGTTGCTGTTGACAATGTTAATATAAAGTCGATGCTGTGTAAAAGATTGATCGAAGTTCGGTATTTAAGTTTACAACAAATAATTCTTATCAAAACTCGACATCATTTGTACACTGTAAATGAATTAATTTTATAAATAAAAACGAGAAAATGGGACGCTTAGTTATTCGAATTTAAAATTAGTATTAATATTTTAGTAATTATTTCAATATTTTCACGTTTCTTTATATTTTGAATAAACAGTCCTTGGCCTCTTTCTATGTATGCCGGAGTCTTCTGCCTCCATTGTATCTAGAATTGTTAATAATATTATGTACATTTTACAGTATAGTAAATATGATTTAATATTATAATAATTTTGTAATACCTAGTGATGGTTGAAAAAGGAAACTACATGAAACTTTACAATCCTCCATACAATGTGGCTCTGCATCTGAATTGAAAAAATAAAATAAGAATAATATAAAACTTGTATTTTAACATTAGAAATACATTACGTCTATTATTCTTATATGATTGCATTTAATTATCTTTTAACGAAGTTCATAATTTCATGATTGCTTTAAATGATCAATATATATATATATATATATATATATATATATATATACATCTAATTAAGAATTTTTATTTATGCTTGTTATAGCATTTATCAATATAGTAATAAAATGATTATAGTTTCTTTCTACATTTAAGAATAATTTTAAATTATAAGAATCGTATACAAAATATATAATAGAATAATAATAATAATACTTAAATTTAACAATTAATTATAGTAACGTTCCCGTCCTTATAGAATATTTCTAAGTTGTATGCTACAACTTCACATTATTAAATTTTGATTTTATGTAAATGTGTAAGTGCAATTTTATATTTCGAATTCTATATTCGGATATAAATATTACTACTAGCATTAAAAACTGTAATAATGAATGATTTTGTGAAAAACATGAACTATAATATGTTTATAATTAATATCAGAAAGGATAATGTTTAGTAAATTCTTATTTTTATATGTTATTAACATAAAGCTATTAAATCGTTCACCCCCCTCTCCCTCTCTCTCTCTCTCTCTCTCTCCTCTCTCTCTCTCTCTCTCTCTCTCTCTCTCTCTCTCTCTCACTCTCCCTCTTTCACTATATGTGTGTTAATGCAAATAAATGTACAAAAATAATCATTACTTATTTGAATATTAAATATTTTAGTCAAATTTGTAAGAAAAAATTTAGCAACAAAAATCTATTTTACATAGAAATCATAAATTTTATAACATTTAACGCTTACATTGACAATAAAAAATTAATTGTTTGAACATCGCATTGCAAATCACACATTACATTGGCAAAAATTAACTTAATGCATAAAATATATCTTACACTTGTTACAATGATGTACGCATTCGTTTTTACTATCTAATCGATATCCTCCTATATAAATTGTTAAATTATATATTATATATTATGTAATGCATGTAATGTGATACATATTCATTTTTTTTATTACTAAAAAGTAATTATATAATAATTTACTGACCAACTGTAGCTATTTGATAACATCCTATTATACATGCCCACGTGTCGATGGAATTATTGGCTATGAACAAATTTCTTTTAATTATATTTAATTTAAAATATAATTGTTAAGAATTAATCATTTTAATGTCCATGTATTAGTTATTTCCATTATGGTATTTTATGGAAAATAGGGGGTCTTATTTAAATTTATATTGGTTAATAATATCAATGAATGCCTAGAAATTATAATAAAGAGTTAGAAAAATAGTAATTTATATTTATAATTATATTTTATACCTATCATAATGCCATAAGTACAAATTACATGATATTTAATTAAATTATGTAATATGAAAATGTTATAATTTTTTAAGCTGCTTATTATTATTCAATGTTGAATTTTTTTATTAATTATACTCTTATTACCGTAAAAGTACAATCATTAATACAAATTTATATTTATACATAATTATCGACAGTGCATTAATAAATTATTTTCTTAAACTTAAAAGAGGAGAATAATTATTATTGTTGAACATATTAATTAGTATTAATTAGGACATTTACAGATTACGTACAAAATATATAAAATCTTCTTTTTTTTTTTCCTTAAAATGATAAAATAATATATTTCGTAATAAAATTCTTTTAATATATTGAAAATAAGATTAATTTTAAAATATGAGGTTTTAATTGAACATACATTTACTGTAAATAAAAATGTAACAATAATCGAACATAAGTTTAAAATTCATAAATGTATGCGAATGCGTAAATATTTAGAAATATATTAAATATAATATTGATTATTTTTCTTAAGACCAAATTTCATTGCTTAAATAAACTAATATTACAATTTAATATTTTATGATAATTTATAGCAATTTGTAATAATAAAATATTTTTAATGAGAGTATTAAAAGACAATATAAATATTTACTTTTACAAATGCCAATACAACGTAAGAGTCCAGTACTATATACTAAGGCGTAGTTGATGATAAATAAATATAATATGGTAAAAAATTGCATTTTTATAATTTTAATAAAATATTATAATATAAAGATTTTGTGAAGTAATATTAATCCAAATTTACTATACGGTCATTTTATAATATAGTCAAAATATTCATAATAAAAATATTAATATATACTCACGATTTATACATAAATTTTACAAATTGTTCTTTTAATAATTTTGTTATTTCGTGTGTAAGAATATTAATATTTTATTTTCTAATCAATCTGCAAATGTATATTTGTTTAACATATTATTATACAGAATATTATTTCAGACATTATTTTCACAAATTGTCTAAGTTCTTGTAATTTGTAATTCTTATTCTAAATTTTAGAATCGTACAATAAATGATGTTATGGATTTTCTAAGTAAACTTCGTTACAATGTTATTTATGATAATTCTGTATAATACTGTTTAGATCTTTGTTACTCCAAATTGGATATGTCGAACAATAATTGAAAATAAACGTCTCTCTAATGTTTACTATTAACAATACAACTAATAGCCGATTCAAATTTCTTTTGGATAAATTCAATAGACAATGATGTATTTTTTCAGAGTATGTCAATAAAGTTTGGCTTTATTCTACTTATTTTTTTTTATTTTTTTTTTATCGATGTACTACGTTTCTGAAATGTGGTAAAGATTTTGCAAATCCAATATGAAATTCTGTTCTTTTGTAAGAGTGATATAAACATATTTATTATCCTTTATTATTGACGTTTGAACTTAGGGAATAAAATTTGTAATATTTTGTTTTTATAAAGATATACGATGTAATCAAGGACACGTTCATGCTCACTAAAAACCTCGAAATTTATAAATATTACAGTTAAGTTCGGTTTTAATTGCATCTACTTTTCGATTTGTCACTACGACGATAAAAACTATTTACTTACGTTGCTTATGAACATTGCAGCACTCAATGGTAATTACAAATGGCAAGTACTGTAGGAATTCAACAAATAAATCAAACAATAATACTTATCAAAAATGATCGAACAGTCTAAATCATCCATTCACTCGTCAAATCGTTGGTCAATAATATGTAAAAATTAAGATATCCGTTCATTTTGTGTCACTATGAAATGCCAGCGTTTATCGAGTACCTTTCAAAACTAGTTTACCTTCAAAATAATATTTTCCCTAATGAATATAACAACGACAACAATAAAAATTAACGATGGATACTTAAAGTAGACAAAATCTCCTTCCAGGATTTCAACAACTATATACAAGAAATTAACTCAACGTTAGATGATTAAACTAATTATTCTCAACGTCATTGCACGTAAATAAATGACAGCAGCCTTTGCCAGATCTTCCATCATCATAAAATCTCGAATAAAATAATCTCAACTCACCCTTAATCGAGACAAATCGGATAATGAACACTTTCACCATAATTACGCAAATATTGATTTACAAATTGTGATTAAAAAATTCTATTACTTTTCCATTGATTTTTTTTACCTGTAGAAACATAAATAAAACGATATGAACAAAAATTCTCTTAATGAAGCAACATTGAAATTGAAATAAAGAATTAAAATTTAATTATACGATAATATATTATAAGGTATATTATAAAATAATGTACAGTAAAGTTTAAATTATTAGATAATTAAACAGGTTAGTAAAATGTTGATTAAATACGTAGATTAAACATCCTTGTAAATAAATATTTAAATATTGCTTAATTATGATATGAATAAATTTTTACTCTTTCGTTTTAAAATAAATGTCAGGCGACTGATATGAGGCCTACAATGACAATTACAATTGGAAAAAGAAAAATTAATTTTCATAATTTCAAGTAAATTTATCTTCAAATTATTTATTCAATTATAGTTGAATTTTGTCTGCTACCCAAACATCTAAGCAAATTTAAAGAAAAGCAAAGATATATTTCCTTATAAATAAAGATTATTTTAATGCAAATTTTCATTAAAATTTACATTAAAATAATATTATATGTGGTACATACAAATATATTACTATTGCGCCACTTCTTTAATGGTTATAGATAATAAAAATTTGTCTTTACATAGAAACTAAAATATACATAATCCACATTAAGGTACTGGCACGTAGCGGCTTATCAGAAATATTTGAATTATATATAAGAAGTAATAAACTTCTTACAGACAATTGGCATTCAATAATTAACGTTACGTTACTTGAAGCAATTATAGACAGTTTTAGCTAAATTACGTTAAATTACTTTTTTTTTTAATAGTAAAAAGAATCTCATCAGTCGCCGAAAATGAATATTTATACTTTTCGTTAACATAAAACATAAAATATAGATTATAAATTTTTTGGACATTATATAGTCTCGATTCTTCGTGTCACAGTTAAATTTAAAATATGAAAAATAAATTGTTATAATTATTATTATTAAATAAAAGTGAATAGCTGTTATTACTGTTGCTCATACATACTATTACATAATAATAACGGTAGAGGACAAATTGATTATTTTGAATTCATTATTTCGTATCTCATGTCTGCAATTATTAAAAAAAAATCAGGAGGCTATTCGTTTCTCGCTCACATTGCGACCCATCAATCCGCAACAGCCCTTCGGTCCATTATCAAGGTCACTCGGTGGTACAGTCCACACAGCAGATAGAGTTGAATATCTTAATACTGTTCGAGAGTGAAAAAAAATCTCTCGAATTGCATTAATCGGGAAAATTTCAACGGCTATCATAATGGAAAATATCAGACGTAGATAAAATGTAAGAAAGTCTTGCCACAGTCGTTGGAGGCTCGAAAAGCTTAGTACATCTGATAATTACTCGTAAACAGCCACTTTATTGATTTATTTCTCTATTGATAATTACTACAGACGTAGTAGTTGTTTTCAATGCAATAAACGACCAATGCTATTTACCATCAAAATCTCGCCAGCCTGTTTACGCGAGAATATTTTCAGGCTTAAGATATTTGAAAAAAATCGAGTGAAAAGCATTTTCTAAAATCCATTGCAACCCGAAACTCGGCACGTGCTACGTTCCACGATCTACGCCTCGCGTGTGCCTTCAATGTCACCAGATAACGCATGCATTGTTGTCAAGTACGACAAATGTTGCTGCTTGCATAGGCCAAACGATGACGCTTGACCAAGGAACAACCCCTCAGCACGCTGAGGCCCGGAGAGGAGCAATTTTCCATATTATGCGTTTCCGCCAGAGATACTTCTTCAATATTCTCATTGTCTAAGCCTAATCTTCTTCTGTAGTGAAGAAAGGGCGTGATAATGCACATTGATAATGCCGCCGAAAAGCGTCGCGCCCTGATTGGAAAATTAAGACCAGAAGCTCCTTGAGTGGGGAGTCATGGCGAGAGGCCTCAAAAAAGGTAGGGACAATACAGCGAAAGGGGCTATCCAAGGGCTATCTCGAAGGAAAAGTCAATTAGAAAAGGGCTATCCGCGTTGAGAAGCCAAGTGTTCAGGGAACTTTACGCACCCGTACAAATTGGTTAACTACTGACAGCAAGTACTCGCGAGGATCCACTGACCAGAAGAAGATACATCAACCTTAGTATTGAATCACCGACGGGGGAAGGACGATCACGCACGTTAGTGTTTACCGCATGCTTTGTGGTAAATTACTCATCAAGCCAGGATCAGATCAAGGTACTGCATCACTGTAAGTACATTGTCCGCGCAACCTACTCGTTCTTGCTGGCCGATGGCACTGATCGGCACTACACCATAACTTAACGATCTCAAGAACATTTTGTGTAGTGAAGCATCCCAATCAAGAAACCATTCAAGAAATCGTATCTTCACACTAGACTCAAGAAGACTCCAAAACATCCATATGTAAATTGTGTAATTAATTTTATAATAAATGTATGTAGTAATCAACTCTCGCGACTCTTGTACAAGTCCCCTTCCACTTATCATCATCCCGGGCGTCTGCTAGGGCGGGCGGTAAACTAAGCTATTGAAGCATTGGCAGTTGGAGCCAAGAATTACATCACTATACTTCGAACAAATACCTTTTGCTTCAATTGAAAATAATGCATTTACTGGAATTAGATTGTAGGTAAATTAGTTTTATTATATTGTTTAATTGAAATGTAACGAGAGGTAAAAATTACAATTAAATTCTATTAAAAAAAAAATTAAATTGTGGTATATAGATAAAAACTCATAAATTTGAATTATTACTCATAATAATTTTATTGTCTAATTTATCTAATGTCATCTTAAAATTGTTTAAATATCGTTGTAATATAAATAGTTAAGGATATAAAAAAGGAAAATTTATTTAACATTTAAGTGGATCATTTATAAGATAATGGTATGTATGTATTTCATAAAAAGTGAAATTCATTAAAGACTTGCAACACATTTTATTATAATAAAACCCTCATTTATTTATTCACATTCTGTACAAATATATTTTACATAAATTCCATATAACTACTTCATAATCTCATGCATTCGTATCGAATAAATCTATTTATTGAGCGCGTGCTTTTTTTTTTTTTTTTTTTTTTTTTTTTTTTTTTTTTTTTTTTTTTTTTTTTTTTTTATTTTTTTTTTTTAAAGAATAATTACCATTCAATAACAAAACAATCGATAATAATAATACAATTGACATTATTGAAATTGACGACAAGATAATTTCCTCGAAAATGAATTTTCTTTAATTTTCGTATAACCAACACCGTACATCTTTTTTTGCTTTTCTTTTCTTTTCTTTTTTTTTTTTATTCTTTCTTCTTTTTGTCATAATACATTATTCTCCCAATCTCAATGAACATTAACTTATTAAAATAATTATGGGGGGGGAAAAAATAAATAATTTTGATTTTATCGGCCTTATATAGTTAACATCTTTATTATGGCGGATATTCAGCCTGCTAAGTTTTTATTATGTAATGAACTAATTGATTTAAAATTAAAAATAAGAAATTTCTTGATAACGTGGTACTTTTGAAAGTTTGAAAGTCCTGTTTATGTTAAGATAATAAATACTCTGGCCCGAACTCTCTTTAAGCCCGAAAATTTTTGACTCATAATAATAAAATAAATCATTCGACTTCTTATTGAAATTTGTAGTAATTTATGTTGCAAAAGCTTATATATTCATGCAGGCTGAAGGCTAAAAATAGTTTTAATTACTTCATTAAATCTACATAAATCGATGAAGATATTTCGAATTTAATTGAAACCGAAGTGCCAGTTTTAAAAATAAACATAGAATTTGTCGCTTCGTTTAAAATGAAATAATATGAAAATAATCATCATTAAAAAGCAGTTCAGTACTTAGTAACAATAAGACCTTTTATGTAATATTTTGACACATATACCGCAATGCATGTTAAAGAACATCTTTTTTATTAACTATAATAAGTATAGATGTATGTGGTATTTTCTGTGGTATGCTGCCCCAGCGCAAAGAACAGAATATAACGAGTCATATATTAGGAACGAGGAATACAAAATGTTTATTCATTTCAAGCGATATTCTAGTACTTTTCTTCGTTATTGTAAATGGCGTTCTTTTTTCTAAGCTTTCTAAGCTAAAGATTTCAAAGCGTGAACGAACGTATTGTACTTAAAACAAGCATTTTATATACATTAAATTTATGAAATCAGTTAACTTTTAGAATATTGCTTTTATCGAGCAATTTAGTCGAGCATTTTTAACAGTCACTGGAGTTTACACATTTTATTTTATTTCTCTTTCAAATAGAAACTTTCCTAAGTAATCTCATTAATTGCGATAATCCATGCATAAGACGTGAAAAATTTTTACACAAAGCTTCTTTCAATGTAAATATATAAAAGTAATAATAATTGATTATTTTAAGGTGCTATCAAAAAAAAAAAAAAAAAAAAAAAAAAAAAAAAAAAAAAAAAAAAAAAAAAAAGAGAGAGAGAGAAAAAGGGAGGGAGTGGGGGTTAGGATGGGGGAGGGGGGAGCGGACCTTATATACGCAAGAATTCTCTTTTCTTAACTATCGCAAGATTCAAGCTTGGATGATAATTTTTTCTGGTTTGTATATTTTTTTTCAGAGTCTAATTTTACTTTTGTTCCACACGATTATTAAACAACGACAATCATTACTCCAATCAAATATGATTATTAAAATTAACATGCGATTACAAATAATTGCGCATATCTAGTTTTTAATGCATTTCATTCGCGCTTAATGTGCACTATCGATTATTTTATAGATTACTGTTGTCGAAGCGTCGATCGTCGAGTCTTCTAGATTATTATTATACGGTTACAAATTACTTAGTCCATATGTATCTGGCCAATATTTAACTTCTATCGAGATTATTCGATTATACATGATATCCTATTTATAATATTATTTTAAAATTTTTTGCATTTTATTCCATTCGTTTACAATAATACGGCGATACATATTCATGAAAATTAAAACACTAATTCTCATTATAATAGTATGCAAGCAACTTTTTTAAAATTTTCATAATAATAACATTGATAGTTTCACTTCCATGCGTATAGTATAAACTATATTCAAGAATAGACAATGACAGAACAGATGATAAATGGCGATTCAACCCCATTTGGCAGCTATTGTGTAAAGTGACCTGAGAAGGTCGAGTGCTCTGTTATCGGAAGCAGTTTCCTCCTCGATTGCAAGAGCTCGTCTTGATTCCGACGTTGCTAACTTTTCAGATTTTTCCATTACGATATTATTCGTAAGCTTGCTGTAAGATTTGTCCGTCGTCGTCTTAAATTTGCGACCTGAGCGGCTTCTGAATGTCGTCACCGACGGTTCACTAAGCGATGGTATTATCGTCGTTGTAAATGTCGACGTTGTGGTTGGCTTGTTCAACTCGCCGTTCGATCTTCCAATTGGAAGTTGCAAATGGCTAATGCCACGAATGAGTTCGCGGGATTCCTCTTTCGTGAATTCATTTACAGGCATCTTCAGTAATGCATTTAACAGCTGTTCTTTCTCCTGCTCCATGGTCTTGTTCATGGGCCCGTTGCAGTGACTTATTAATAAAAGTACGAGTTGCCGTACGGTGGCATTATTATCAGCTTGTTTCATCACTTTCATCAGTGTGTTGGAGCTCGTTTCGTTTAAATTGCCAAACATCTGCTGGGCCTTTTCAATCTCGTTCTCCGTGACATTATAGACAGTGACTAAGGTCGGCAAATTATCATCGGTCGATGGTATGGCATTTACTAGGCTAGTCGATGATGTAATCGTTGTTACGCTCGATGGTTTCGTCGTAAAAGGTGACGTCGGAGTAGCTGTATTTTCCATATTCGAGTAGATGTTGGGTAGTAATGTAAAAGCTGTTGGTGAATCGTTACTATTCGACTCCCATTGCCATGGTGTTGAAGGCTCACTGGCAAAATGCTGTGGCGTCGCTGCATTACTATCGCCATTATTCTGCAAAACGTTTCTATCCGAAGGCGTAGTGACTCTATAATCGTCGAATGATTGTCGTATTTTTGAATCAACGTCCAATCCACGATTAATATGCTCTGGATCAATGAACACCGTAGTTTCCCATAATTGCGTGACCGTGGGCGAAGATGTCCAATGATGATTACTCGGTGAATTTGTATATCGATGATTAATTGCTACTTTCTCCGTTTTCGTAACTAAACTATCGTAATCCTTTTCGTAACTCGAATCGATACTATTCTCAGTCACAGTGGAATCGAAATGCTCTTTCGGCGTTGTATCGTAATATCGTATTCGGAACGGCTGTCTAGAAGTAGTAATAGTTTCTTCTAGGCTCTTATGATTTGGCGTAATATTACTATTAAGTGTCTCGCCATTAGCCTTAGTATTTGAAATTGAATTACCGGCTTTGACAGGTAATAATTTTTTATTTATAGGCGGTGTTAAATGATCGTACACTTTATCGTTTATATTACTACTTGGATTGCTCGAGGCAAAGGTTTGTGGGGCTAATAGTTCGAAAGTCGCTGGGGTCGATGATGCAACGTAATTATCACTAATGGGCGTCGCATTAGAAGGTTTGACATATTTGCCATAAGGAGAGTATGGTTTTTCAGAATAATTTTGAAAGTCGCTATGCTTATTTTGTTTAATCGGAAAGTAATTGTCATAATATTTTTGAGAATTGCTCGAACTACTCAAATCATTGCTACCAGATTTGTAACTATTCGCTTGGCTCAATTTTTTCGCATCAAAAATATTATTGACCTTATAAGCGATATTGTCATCCGAATTTGACGATTCTTGGTTATGGATATAACCACTTTGAGCTTCGTTCAACGATTCATCGGGATATGTCGTTGTTGTTGAGAAGTAATCAGCCGTATAATATGGCTGATAAGTCGTTTCTCTCAAAATGTCAAACGGTTCTTTAGTTGTTTCGGATGCGACAGTAGTAGTTGTCGGTCTTCTCTTTCGTATACCATTAATGTCATCCGAAAAATCCAAAACTTCATCTTTCTCCTTAGTTACAGATGGATAATCCTCCGTAGTTATTGCGGACGTGGTTGTTATTTCATTTTCAATGTTTTGCGAGGGTTCGGTTGGTCTTATTTCGGTTAAAACCTTCTTAAATGTGTCTGGATCTTGTAAATAAGCAGACAATGCTTGCGTAAAAACTTGTGCTAATTCTCGTAATTTAGTATTATTAGATTTCTTTACCCCACTCAATGGACCTTCGCTTTGTTGTATATCTAAATCACTTGTATCTTCATCCGTTGAATTTTCATCACTATTATCGTAAATTGCATCGTCCGTTATATTATTTTCAAGCGCATTATTTAAGTTGAAAAGCTCGGCGTATGAGCTTATGGTATGTTGAGTCAAAATATTCGATGGTAATTCAATTACCGATGTATTTTTCTTTTCAATCGGATTAATCGTTGTTTCGGCATATTTAACATTAATAACAGAATCTGTTGGTTTTTCAGAATTGTCGTCAGCATTAGCAAAATATAATGCCAGCGAGTGTAACGTAGATGGCCCGGAGGAACTTGGAATTTCTAATCCCGTTCTGTTGTTGTTGTTGTTGTTGTTGTTGTTGTTGTTGTTGTTGTTGTTATTATTATTATGGTTATTATTATTATTATGATTATTAATGTTCAAATTAGGAAGATTATCTTCGAGACCTTGGAGAGACTTTAGCATATTCAAGGCGTGTTCCCGTTCGTTTAGAGGTCTACTGTCAAGATTATTTTTTTCAACAATGTGCGTAGCTTCGGTGGTCTTTTCAGGCAAATAAGTTGCTCTGCTTCCTGACTTTCCGGGATTTGAAAAGTCAAAACTTTGCGAAGGTTTAGAGTTTGATGCAAGATTTTTCGAAATTTTATTATAATATGCGCTAGATGGTGATTGACTCGGTTTAATCGTTGTGCCACTTGTTGTAAATGCATAATTTTTTGTAAAAGGAATATATGGTCCGAGAGTTGATATTATTTTGCCGTGCTGATAGGTTACACTCGTATCGTAAGGACTCGGTGTCCTACGCGTAGCTGTAAAATCATGATTTCTATGATTCGACTTCTCGGTAGTCATACTAATCAGATTCTGAATATGAGTTTGCGATTGAGCTTTTGGGGTATTCTTTGTTGAATATTTTGAGGGCTCGAATCTTTCATTTTGTAGGTCAATCTTTTCAGAAACACTGGGAGCAACAGTTGTAGCGCTATTATCATCATCAACGATATTCGAAGCTATAGAATTCGGGCTATAATTATTTTTATAAATAATTGGTGTCAACGTAGTGGGCGAGCTTGCCTGATTCTCATTAAATCGTAAAACTGACTCGTCATTATCGTATTTTATCGTTGTAGTCAGAGCTGGAGTTGTTTCCTTATAAATGTCTCTAGTATAATAAGGATTTTGCGTAGTCGATATAACTGTATTAAAGCTGTCGCTTTTTAATGTTGTTGAGAATTCATGAAAATTTTTATTGCGATACGTATTTGGAGCGTTGGTAACTGGCGCCTCAGTAGTAGCGTACTCAGGATACGTGGTGGTTGTCTCATAATTTGCATAAGTCGTTGATTGATGCGCATGGCTATCCTTATTCGCGTACTCTTTTTTAATCGTAGTAGGTGCATCTATGGATGGCAAAGTTGTCGTTCGAGGTTTATAAATGGGTGCAAAAGTTGGTCCCGGATATACTGGAATTCCAACTTTGGAACGCGCAAGAGCCTGTGGACCATCTCGATCTTTTAAAGAATCCAGAGTTGTTGAAATCGTTGAATGCTGCTGAAGCATATCGACAGTTGAGGCCGAGGCTTTGTTACTCGAATATAAGCCATTGAATTGATTGGCCGTATGAGACTTATATCGATTGCCACGACTCGACGCGAACGCTGCACTCTCGGCTAAGTGTTGGAACTCACGAATCGGACTGACAGTGGACGTACGGAAGGTTGTTGTTTCCGTATAGGCTGGCGTTACCTTTTGAATTGGAAAATTAAAATTCGGTCGTGTAAAAGTACGCGGCTTTACCGATGACTTAATAATACTGTGCTTATCTTCGCGCTGGGTATTAACATTAGCTGCAGAGCCGTAATATTCGTCCTCTTGGCTCGATTTTAATTGATTATTGTAATACTTGCTCGAGTCCTTGTGATCATAACTATTCGCTTGATTATCTTTTGCATCATTAAAGAGTAACTGATTTTGTTGCCTATCATTTTGAGGCTTACTATATTCGTCTTTTGCCCTTATTGTATCCTGGATATGCTGCGTGCCAGAAACTGTCCCTCGACTACTAAATTTAGCGCTCTGTTTTTCGTAAATTTGATTTGCATCGACAGATTGAATAGATTTTGTATTTTGACTGTTTTGCAATTGATTTTGTACTGCTGATTTACCATAAGGATTCATTCGTCCATTCTGACGTCCATCATAATTAGTACTCTGATAAAATTGTCGGTTATTATTGTTATTATTATTATTGTTGTTGTTGTTGTTGTTGTTGTTGTTCGATCTATGAAACTCCGAGTTCATTTTCTTGTTTTCAATTCGTTTTCGTTCTTCCTCGGCGAGATATTCAGCGCTTTGTTCGTACAGATCAACGGATTTGCTGCAATCGACTTTAAACCACCAGTCGCAAATCAACTGCGATTGTTGGAAAATAGTACCGTTTGGACACAGGAACGAGATCTTCCGCCCATTGTCACATATGTGAAATACCTAAAAATAAATATATTATATAATATTATATAATTTAAAGAATTACAGTATAATAAGATTATTTATGAAAGCCAGTGTTGATTATAGTAAAATTCATGGCTTAATGATAATGATATTAAACTAACTAAAACTCGTTTCTCTTTAAAAATAATCTATTGATTTACAATACTGCCATATGAACAATAATATAACGTTTATAAATAATACGAAATTTTTTTTTTTTTTTTTTTTTTGAAAATATCAAAGAAATGATTTATTTTATTATTTGTAAGTATGAATTAACAATGTATTTATTCATACAAATTTATGAATACCATAAATACCATAAACTGATTCGGATAAATAATTCAGAATTTTTAAGTATATTACTTGACAGTTGGTTTCCAAATCTGCATAGTAGCCACCTTTTTGACCTCGACAACTAAACGAAGTAACAGGAATCGTAGTAAGTACAGGATAATCAACACCTGGTTGTCCTGTTATTTCTGAAATCAATAACAAAAATTATCAAAAATCCTTAAGAAATGTAAATTATTATGAATTCATTGATAAGAAGGTTTTGGTTTAATATTATTATTATCGCTATCTTATCATAAATTACCGTGCATAGTTTATTCGTAGGAATTCATTAATTAATTATGAGATTTGAAGTGTTTGAAGCTTTAAGAAGTATATGAATTTTTTATTAATTATGAATTCAAAATTAACAATTAATTTATAAAAATTTAATTGATAATTTACAATATTATAATTCTTTGATTAATGAAAATTTTTATTTCAATTTCAATTATTGATCTGCTTTATTTATAAGATAGTTTATTATAACGAATTGAAAGAGTATAACGAATGCATTTTTTTAAAATATGTTTAAGATCTTATTGAAATCAGCAGTAAATTATAAAAGTCTTATATGGGTCTATGAACAAATATAGTTTAAATGATGTTAAGTAAATAAGAATTCTTTGAGAAAATAAATTAACCGAATAAAAAATTTTATTTCATAAGCTGTGTCAATAAAACCGCATAAATAATATTAAATTAATTATCAACCCATTATAATATTAATTGTTATTATTTATTTTTTATTTTTTGAATCAATCATATTGTCATGTTACTTTAAATACGTCATATAACAAATGAAGAATATAATCTTTGAAACTTTTATTATTAAGACAATAAAATACTCTATACATTTATAAAAACGATTGATCCATTAGACTCGTTTTTTTAAGCCATTATGTAAAATCGGCTTCGATTCCAAAATCTATTACGACAAAAAGCAAATGTTGTGATTAAACATCTATAAAAATGATTAAACATTAGTATAATAATAGATGTAAAGGCAATAGAAGCTCTCATCACTGAGTACTCGCCATTTTTTGACGGTGCAAGTCTTTTCACAATTTTCCTTAGAGCTGCGACATCCTCGACCGATGCCTCAGCACTCGCCACATCCAATTCAGAAAGGAATTCTGGCAATCTCGATCTTTCCTCATCGTTTGACTTCTAGAATCAACAATATATACATTGTAATCATAATTTGCGCAAGCGCATTCAATATGAAATTTATCCATCCAAGAAAGTATTGAGTAAGAATAATAGAAATTATAGATTGTTATAAATACACACCTTAATCGAATAAAAATACTAAATTTCTTATTTAGAATAAATATTATCGAAACCTTTAACACGTTATTCTATGAATAGTACAAACATATCATATATATATATATATATATATATATATATTATCGTTAATTATTTTCGAACATCATACAAAATTCAAGGCTGTGAATACTTTTGAAATTCTAGAAATAATCGGTACAACAATCTAAGCCCTAATTTTCTAATATTTATCTTCGACATTTATCTTTTTTATATATAAATTTTTACAAACAGAATTCGGAAGTGAATTTTATATAATAAATGAGCAAAAAATAGGTCTTAAAAGTTATACAACTTTTGCAAATACAAATATTTCGTTCTCGTTTCAATAACGATTCGTATGCATATTGACGAAAATATATTTTTAGAAGACTTCCTTTCCAATCTCAATAGGTGTTGTAACTTTTTTTTTAAACACACATTGTTAGAAAAGAGACATAATAATCCTTCTCTCATCTAAGTCTCTCTCTCTCTCTCTCTCTCTCTCTGTCTCATGCGTACGTTAGCTATCTCATTGTTATCACAGAATTGTTATCTCCTAACTCTAAAACTAGTAGTAATTCTACTGTTTTAATGGAATCACGCAGCCCAATGTGAGAATATACTCGGTTTTTAAAATGAAGTGTGAATCATTGCACTCTTATGATCATAATACGTTGTTTGAATGAAAGTAATGCGAAAGTGTGAGCTGCCTATTCATTAAGCGAGCGCTACTGTACTATGCATTGGTCCTTGTTTATGAAAAAAAGGAAATACATTCTTTTTATATTACTTCATTCGGAACTTATTACGAATGGAGTTGAGAACATATATTACGTATAAGTTTCAATTCACATGTATATGGTTATACACATACACATATATATGTATACAGATTTTATGATAACGATAAGCAATATAAGCAGTCATTATGCCCCTGGTGAATGACAACTTTCAAACACAACGGTAGCTCATACTGCATAATCGTAGGCTACAGATAGTATATTCATCATTAAAATCATTTAACCATTTTCATTGTGTATTAAAGTTTTTAAATATCTATATTCAAATGGTATTTTAATTAATTATTAGAATTAATTATCTGTGGAATATCTAAATCTATTAAAATTTAATTTGATGCGATTTTTTAAAAAATTGGAAATAGATTTTTTATTGAGATATATTAATCAATATAATTATAATTATATTTAAATAGCCTTACTTACTAAGAATAAGTAAGAGGATCTAAATAAAAAATGTATTACTTTTAAAGTGATCATTTCAATATACAATAAATACTTAATGAAAATGATTTACCTGCACATTTAATAAGTATATTATTCAGATAATGTTCATTTAATAATTAATACTATATAATTTTTAATGAATCGTCATTTTTAAGCCTAATAATGAGAAATTTAATTCTAATAATAATAATCATCAAAGATAGAATATTCTTAAAGTAGTGAATATAACTTAAATGAATATAATTAAAAAATATGTTTCTATTTATTATTTAAAAAGTTTGAAGCGAAGGCACAAATACATTATTTTCCAAAGATTCACAAAATTTACTATTGACATACACAATACTTATTGTAAACTACTCATATTTTTAAGAATTTTTTATGCATTTTTTGGTTAATGCCAACATTATGTTAAACTTATAGTTTTTTTTTTTTTTTTTTTCAAAATTACATCAAAATAATTCTCCATTTTTTTCGCAATTATGAATTATATAATACAAACATTTTCATGTTCTGTTTTCAAGAGAAAAGAATCGATACAAATACGCATGTTTCATTAATTTTTTAATTTATATATAGAGAAAAGGCTGATATAAGGAAAAAAAGGAAAAGGAATAAAAAACGATGAATTAATTTTGAAAATTAAGCAACAAAGAAAATTGTGAATTTAAAAGTATTTTAATATAAATAAATCATTCAAAATGGAAATTATTCTAAGTAGTATCCGCAACTAATGTATATTATTAAACAAATGAATGAAAATTTTTCTCATAAAAATTTGTTTTATACACAAATGACTACACATTAGTGTAATATTATTAAAAAATATTAGATATAAGATTAAAAGTTAAAAAGTGAAACTTATTTAAAAATTTAAGGATCTCGCCATAAACCATAAAATTCTTCCATATTTCATGCTTTCATATTCTGTCACTCGATTTCATATTTTGTATCCGTACAAGTTAAAATGAAAATAAAAATGAAACATTAACTTAGTTATGTTTATATTATATAACGAATAAGTCATAAGCTTTTAATAGCTATTTTATTTACAAAGCAATTGAATATAAATTAAGACTATTTTATTTTTGCAAGATATTTTTATTTCAACGCTTTTTCATCTAAAATCGAAAAAAGGCGTATAAATTTTTAATTTTTCGTTTGATTTTGAGGAAATATAAGTCTTACGGCAAAAATCCTTAAATAAAATTACAACAATAACTTATATAAAGTTGATATATTGATGAGCAATTGATAATAAACTATACGTCACTTAAATTATATATATATATATTGATAAATCTCAAAATGTATGAAAGATTGAATTAAAAAAAAAAAAAAAAAAAAAAAAAAAAAATTAATTGAAAGGTATTTAAAATAAAATATGTAGTAGTAATTAATTCTTTTGAAATGTAATATTCATCCTTATACAATAATAGCACTTTCTTAGCATAATAAATGTCTTAATCGAAGACTTCTTATCTTTAATAAGCATTTGATTTTACTGAAATTAGGAAACTGATTATTTAATGCTATCTAATCTTGCAGACACGTCCGCTGTTCAACTCAAATAGAAAACAAATTGTCGTTTCAACCGATTTGCTTTCATAATTTTTCTTTCTCTCGTATTCGACCTCATGAGTAATGCAAAGAAGACTCTGGAGAGTCTCATAGTAGTCACAGAATTGGCAATGAGGGCAAAAAGAGGAAATTGTGAATGGTAATAGCGCAGTGCAACGAATGCAGGTCACCGAATACAACCATCATGGTTCGTCGTCGTGCGGCTCTCTGCTCCAATTTCTAGGTGCTGCATCACTATGGGATGAGTCGAAGGTCTCGGAGGGAAAGGCCCATTTTGTATAATAACATGGTAGATGCTATGCGGGACATTCCTAGGTATTCCGTGTATGGAGCGAGTGAAAATAGCGAGGTATAGCCATCTATTGGCTAATATTTCTCCATCTCAATCATTATTCAAGCCTTAAAGGACGGATAAAAGAGTGGAAAACTTATATGGTTATTGTACGGGGGTAGTTAATTTTCATTACATGTAGTATTATTATACATTTTAGACGTTTAAGATGAAAAGTATTTATAAAATTTATAGGATGTAAGCTAAGATTAATGAATTATCGCTTTTCATTTATAAAATAATACGTTAGAAAGCAATAGTATTGCTTGTAAATTATATATCTAAAATAAATAAATAAATAAATAAATAAAGGTAAGCGAAGATCTTGTCAGTAATTAGAGTTTAAATTTAAATTTTAAGAAACAGAATACATCCAAATAATTACGATTGACGCTCTACTAATTAAGTTTATAGTACATTATATCGACTATTAGAATGAAACTTATTTTTAGAAATATTTTAGTCAGTTAATTGCTTTCTAAATTGCTTAAGTGAAGAAGTAACTGATGTTTCATGCAGCAACTTAAATATATCAGGACCGTCCATAATATTATTTTCCTAAAAATTGCTATTAAGAGAATGCTTCTTTTTCTTTCTTTCTTTCTTTTTCTTTTCTTTTTTTTTTTCTTTTTTTTTCTTTTTTTTTTCTTTTTTTTTATAAAAAGCATTAAATATACGAAACATAAATTTACTGTAAATAATGTTATGCGATCGTGAAAGTCTCTCTTTGATTGAAAATATTGAAATATTTGTAGTCTTTATATTAAATATATATTTCAATCGAAACGTATTTAATATAATTTATCGTATTATCTTCATTTTTTATTTTAATATATTATTTATCCTTTGATTGGTATTATGATTGTTAAAGTAACAATTTTTGTAATGGATTTCGATTCAGTTAGAAATGAAAATCCCAAATTATTTCGTATTAATAAAATAGTATTCTTATATCATTATTCGAGTACACCTACGAAAGAGAAATGTATTAATATCTTAATAAATATTATTTACAGAGTATTCTCTGTATATTTGAATAATATTCAAAATTATAATAGTTTAGATGATTAAATTAAATATATACGAGCACGTTCCATAAAGTGCGTGGATTTTTTTAAGATTAATTCGTAAAACAGAAGTATGGGTAATGCAATTTTATTAAATTAACATAAATATGGTCCTGTATCAAAAATATAAAATATTTTTCAATTTTAAATTATTAATCCATATTTGACAATCAATAATTAATTATGTAAATAAAATTCCTATAGTGCAATTAATTATTTTAATAAATCTGTCAAATACATTAAAAGAAATAGGTAAAATAAATATCACTAATACGCTTAATATTCTAAATGATTCGTAAGACAATTTTAATACTTTTTTATATTTATAAGAAAATTTCTTAGATATTTTAACAATGTAAATGAGATTAAAGTAAGTTGTGTCAAAGTAATAAGATCATAATTCCGTGTTTTGAAAGAACAAAAGGATGTAAATAAATAAGTGAATAATATAATCAATATATTAATTTTTTTATCTCAATTTGTTAATCAAGAGCTTTAGCAGACTACTATAATAAACTATAGTGGGTTTACAGAAATTTAAGATTACATAGCATCCAATTTTATAAAGGTATTTCAATTTTATGAGGGTTATAAGCAAATTCATAAAACCTAATTCATAATGGATACTGAATTATT